AAATAGAATCCACAAAGAGGAGGGAAGACGGCAGTGCAGCACCTTGGTCCTTAGGAGGAAGGTCGTATAATTGTTTTGGTTTCATTTTATAGTTTGATATTTAAATCATTTTTCATTTAATTTTAATCTATGATCAAAAAATAGTAATTTCCAAATTTATTTTGAGGAAAAAGTTTGGTAAACGTTTTTAGCTCCTAACTTAACTAAAAAGAAAAAACTTAGTGTTTTAAATTTTTAGGGGCATATGAATAATTTTCCCATGACTTTATAACAAATATTTAATTATATATATGTAGAGATCTTTCACCTTAAACTCCATTTTACAATGATAAAATTAGGAATTTTCCATTTTTAAAAAATCTTTGAACTATTTTGCAATGAAAATTATAATATATGAATAAATTATCTTGAACTCTCTAGAAACTTTACACACTTAAGAAGTTGTGATGATTAATACTAAAGGCTCAAAGTAAGCACAAACTTATTAAAATATTGGCACAAAGAAAATTTTGATAAAATACTAGATATACAACTATAAATTTTGTCACCATATCACAAATTAACCTTAATCCGAGCCATATCATTATTAAGCTCTACTCGAGATTCGTGTGTCGTGCTCGCATGCTCTCCACGCTCTCACCCAGCTTGGCGCGCAATTCCAGCACCACCAGCTCGAATAGCACGAACAGAGCTCCCTCGTACACGCTACCCATTGGAAGGACGCCCGCCACGTCACCGCTCCCGCTAGTCACGTCGTCCGCCATCGTCCTTGCTGGCAGCACAACAAGCGAATCTACCCCTGCAATGTCATCCACCCGCTGCGCTGTCAGCAGCATGACACGTGCCCCGTCCTTATTCGCGACACGTAGGATCCCGTCCACGGTCGCGAAGCTCCCGGGGCCTGGCCCCGCGCTGCAGATGAGGAGGTCGCCAGCGCCAATTCGCGGCGCGCCCATGTCGCCCACGCAGCTTGCCTTGAGCCCTAGATGAAACAATCGCATCGCCAGGGCCTTGAGCATCAATCCCTCGCGCCCGACGCCGTAGAGCACGATTTGCCTATCGCGATCCCTCCCGGCGCCAATCTCACGCACCATTCTCCCCACCGGATCAAGACCCAGCTCCTGGGCGCGCTCAAATACCTTGGAAATCTCTCCCAGCGCCGCGGACGCCATGGCGGATAGAGAAGACGAGGAATCCATGGGCGAATATTCTCTCTTTTAAAAAAAAATCCTTTGTTTTTCTCTTTTGTGTTTTACATGGCGACCGTGTTTTCCATCCTGTGACTTTGAAATCCAGTTCTGTAGCACAAGAAACTTCTTTAGTCCACGATCGAGAGAGAAAGAGATAGAGATCAACCAATCTAGAGACTTTTTCTTTGTTCCAAGAAAAGAGAACGAGAAAATTTGCAGACCTTTCGGCGAGATTGGCTGATCCCTCCTCGAAAACTTCCAAGACTAATGGTCTTCGCACGGCCGAGTCACTGCTCGATCTCCCATTCTGGTGGGGCTTGTACGGTGGGATTACGTCCACTACCAGGCACGTTGTGTCGTCTCGTAGGCCTGCGACTCCTAGTGCCTCCTAAAAGAATTTCCAAAACGAAGCAGTGAGTGCCAGCGATTCAAAGACGAGCGAACCGAGAGAACTTTCTTTTCGGCTCTAAAAAAACAACCATCACTCACTTTCACGATATGCTTGGCCGCGAGGTTGGGTGGCAATCCACGGCAACACTTCGCAGCTTTCTCAGTCGAGAGTGCGTCCCACACACCATCCGACGCGATGATAATCCGGCCTCCGGTTTTGGGAAGCTGGGAAAAAAAAAACAGAGAGTAAGTTCCCAATGGATGATCATTGCTGGGAGAGCTGACTTTTCTAATACCTTCACTTGCTTCACGAAAGGCACCGCCACGATGTACTCTCCCACGTCTGCGTCCCCTATGGATCTTGATAAGCAAAGGCCTCCTGGCCAGCACCTCAATGGGCCATACTGCACGAAAGAAAAGGAAAAATAAAAACTTCGCCCACTAAGTTCCATGTCTCAAAACGAAGAAAAGAAGATTACTCTCACCTCCACGCCGAGAGCTGTGCTTAATCTCCCGACTTCGCCACCGCAATCGACAATTCTCTGTCTCCTGCATTAAATACCACATAGCGAGGCATCGTTAGACAGTTGAGCGAACTATTAAGTGCTGCAAAAACTGGAAAACAAACAAAGAAAAGTCGAGGAGAGTTTAGCCACACGAGATTTCACTCACTCGGCTTCGTTGTCGTCTAGTCTGTGGTCAACAGTCATTGGCATTACACCGGCCTCAGTGTCCAGCACGCACCGAGAGTCGCCAACCGACGCAACAGTCACAGTCCATCTATCGACGATCACAAGAGACACGGTGGTTCCTGACGTTTGTCCTGGTAAGTTAACACATCGAAGTGTTAATCCCAACTCGTGAAGATCCAACAAAAGCAAGCCCAAGAGAAAAAACGAGAAAATCCAGAAAGCAAGCATGAGTGATTGAGAGAAAGAAGAGAATTTGATACCTTTCTGTTGGAAATCCCTGTCGGTCTTTAGAAATCCTTTGATCATTGCCTCGGGGAGAATTGATAGCCACTCGTCTCGATCCAGTCGCGATGGAAGTGCGCTCATGACGTCCTTGAGAAGGTGTTCTTTTGCGTGTACTGCCGCCGCCGATCCATTGTGACCATCGAAAATCTGGGGAAAAAAAAAACTTAAGCATCGAAAACGCTAGACGAGAAAAATCCAATCACTCACCGCAAAGACTCCAAATGTGGATGATCCATCGCCCGGAATTCTCTCGCAATCGATCTTGACGAGAGCAAAATCCTCGCCCTTCTTGGATTGTCCGGACTCCCCGCACACGAACACCGGGATGGCATTCTTCTCCACTTTCTCGATCCTCTCGATCAGGTGCTCCTGCTTGAGCAAATCGGCCAGAGCCACCATGCCGCTGCGGTGCTGCCGCCTGTTCCTGGTGGCGTCGTGATCGCTAGCCATCGCCCAGAAATTTTAACATCTACTGCTATCGATAAACCTAGCTGGCCAGAGATTGCTCTTGCTGCGATCACGATCCACTACTCGGCTCTCCTGGATGCCTTGGAATTGGTCGCAGTCGCAAGATGACAAACCGGATTACCTAGTCCAGGTCACTGTGCCGTGCTGCTGCCGCGTTAGAAATTTCTCTCACTCCCTCGAGTCAGATCGATCGATCTCTCTCCAAGAAGCTCCAAGATCGCGCGAATTTCGGTCGCTACTTGCTGGAGAATGCACGTCACGGCGATCGATGGACAGGGGAGAGAGGAGAGAGACAAGAGAGAATAAAAGCCCTAGAGTCGAGGATTGGGAGCTCGCATCCCTAAAATTCCAGTATATAGCACCACACACAAGCCGAGGACGGGATTAGCAAGGAACACACTCACTTGCAAGGAGAATATTCTTTTACCAGTAAAAGTATATTCATGAAAGCGAGTATTCTTTAAACAAATCAAGCTCTATTAATACTAATAACTTACAAGTACATAGAAACTCTATGGCGTCTTTTGTTGTGTGGGAGCGCAATGCTGGCTTTGCCAATGTTCCAGCCTTGGAGGAGGATCTCTGGAGCGTCGTTCGTGCTACTCTGGAACGAGATGGATGCCGCAAGCTTCTCTCCAGGAACTATGGAGAAATAGTTCTGTGAGTAGCTCACTGGAAGCAGTCGCGTGTCGGTGCTTCGCAGCTGGGATCGCTTGTTTCTCGAGTGAACCGAGAGCCGGAGCCAGAAAGCCACACCTCTTGCTGCCACCGCTGGAGATGTTGAGAAGAGGAGCTCTGAGAATCTCTGAGAGATGGAGCTGGAGCTGGAGCTAGAGCTGCTACTGCTGTTGCTCCTGGATAGATTTTCAATCTCGACATTAATGTTGAAGTTGCCATTGCGAGAGCTGCTCTTGAGCGACATCTTTACTGGAACCGGTGCCAGTTCGTTCTTGAGAGCTTTGTAGTCGCCCCCGGATTGATGGAGCCAGTAAAAGTTTCTGGAGATGGATGTCCCCGAGCTATCGACGAGCTTAAGGAGGAGGAAATAGACCTCCGACCAGGAACTTGCAGGAGTCAGCTTCATTACGACAATCGTCTTGTAGGCTGGCACTTTGAAGTTGGCCATTGTCTCTTGGTATGGTGAGTTGCCTTTTAAATCCCACACTGCCGCTTCAACTCGCGTATCCTGGAAGCTCTTTCGTGTAGTATTGACAATCTGAAAGAGGATAGTAGTGGTTCACGGGGAAAATACGCACACGAAAAATACAAAAGAGTACCTCGATCGCGTAGGTGACAGGGTTATACTGAACGTGAACGGGCTCGCACGCAGACTTCACGCCGTAGAAACCACCTGTTTGATCCAAAAAATAGTCGTAGAGCTGGCCTCTCAGACCAGGCCAGGGGTTCTGAGTTTTCCAGATAAGGACTCCCGTATACTTGGTCCACATTCGCGAGTTCCAGCTCTCCATGAGAGCACGGTACTGAACGTAATTCACGAGCTGGGCCTGTACACAAAGGAAGAACATATTTTGCAATGATCAGTTATAACAGCGACGTTACCTTGTCGCAAAAATCGTCAAGATCGGTGGCATCTCCATACTTCGCAATCTGGTGTGGAACCTTTTTGTCCGGGTTGGCGTAAGGAATGTAGGTGTGGAGTGTCCAAGTTGCATTTGGAATCTCTCTGACAAGCCCGTCAGAGACCTTTTGTGTCGTCGGAATGTCCCACGCTGACTCTGGCATTGTTGCTTTTATCGTAGCCGCAAGAGGAACTCCGACGGATCCAACCTCCGGGTTGAAGCCGTAGGCATAAAAGCCGTCCTGGAAATAGTCTTCCGGGTTCAGAATGTTATACGGACCGTCTCGAAACTCTCCTGTGCCTGCTGCAAATCCCTCCCACAGCGAGCCTTGGATGTACAAGCGAGTTCCATCCAAAAGATGGCTGGGATTCTCGTAAGACCCTGCCTGCGTCAGCTTCAAGTCTTTCATCAAGGCCTGGTTGATATCTTCTGGCGGATGCTGTTCGTTTCCCCCGACCCATAACGCGAGGCTTGCGTGATTTCTCAGCAACTTAACTGTGTCCCGTGCACATTTGAGAAACAGTGCATGATCTAGCGGCCAGCTAGCATCGGAAGGAGGAACTCCACGACCGTTACAATCACCTGTGATCCAAAACTCTTGCCAGACCTGTGGAAAGAAAAAGAAACTCGAAACTTCAGGCATCTATGAGAAGGATCGATACCAGAATTCCGCGTTTATCACACGCGTCATAAAACTCGGGCCTCTCAGCCAAAGCTCCTCCCCACACTCGAATCATGTTCATGTTCATATCTGCGTGAAAGTTGACGTCTGTTTCGTATCGCTCCTTTGATAAACGGAGTAGACCATCGGAGACGATCCAGTTCCCTCCTCTGATAAACACGGGTTGCCCGTTAACTTGGAAGTGCCTGCACATTGGCAACGTATAGACATGTAGGAGAAAAATCCAAAAGAAAAAGGAAGAAACAGAGAACATACCTGCTCTTCGTGACAGGGTCCAGAAAGCTGTCGATTTTACGGAATCCAAAGTTGTGACACCAGCTATCAGACTCTCCATTTTCGTTGACCTCGAGTGAGATTTCGACTTGGTAAAGAGCCTGTTCTCCCATGCCATTTGGCCACCATAGCCGAGGCTTATAGAAGTAAAGCTGCAAAACACAGGTAGTAAATATCAAAGACTACAGACTGTATAAACTCACAGGCTCGAAGGAGCACAGCGTAGTAGCTCCAGAGGCAATTTCTAATGGCTGTGACTGGACACCTTCAACTGAGAAGAAGCCATCATCAGCATCTGCTGACACTTGTAGCTTCGCCGTGCACTTGATGGCAGTGGACGTTGTATTTGTGACTTCCGAGGAGACGACGAGGTACACTCGCTTGTAATCGTCGTGAAAAGTCGCCACAAGATGTGGATCACCCAAAATCGCCACCTTCAGAACAGAAAACAATTTAGAAAGGCAAACTTTGCACACATATGTACCCCAGTGAATGAAACCGAAACCTCGTCCCATATTCCAGTGTTTCTGTCGCTGAAAAGTGAAAGACCAAGAACGATGAACTAAAAGCTAGACAAAACGAAAACAAGGCCATACCGAATAGGAATAATCCAGTCCCAGCCTTGGACGTACTGTGCTGCTACATCCTTCGCTATCTTCTCCACAAAACGAGACAAATTCAATCTCTCTTTGCGTCACTGGAGCAGTCAAGACTTACGTCGTGATCGCCACCTTGTCCACCCACGGCTGGAATCCGACCAGGATGATCCGGAGGATGCACTAAGACAGCCAAGTTGTTGATCCCAGTCTTCTTCAAAGCATCTGTTATGTCTAGCTTGTGCCGGAAAAACATTCCTCCTGGAAGGCTATACTTTGATCCATTGACGTAAACTTCGGCAGAATAGTTGATAGCTCGAAAGTGCAGCCATGCACGCTTGAAAGCTCTCTAAAACCCAAAGAAAGAAAACGAAGTGAAAGGACTGACACGATTCGAATGGATTTGTAAGGTAAGTACCTCGGGTGTGGCAAATTTGTTGCAGAACCAAAACGTGTAGAAATCTCTCCCAGCATCAGCGATATCGGGAACGTTTTGATTTTCCATGCCGTAGAAAGGATCGGGAATGGCCGCATTCTTGAGGAGCGTCGCCAAAACACTAGAAAGAAAGCACCAGAACTGCTGGAAATCACGGAATCCCTGTAGAAGCGATGCATAATCTCTACTTACGTCCCAGGAACAACAGCGTCCATCCATGGATCGATCTTGAGCGAAGGCGCATGCGTCGTCGTGAGCTCCTCGCCTGTCCGCTGGACTTGATTCGCTCGCGCAGCAATCCAGCCGGAATCCAGCCTCTCGCGCGCCATTCCCCCGCTCAAACCCTACACGCCGAGCGACATTCTTTCTCTCATCCACTGCGCAAATTCTATTTCAAAGAGGAAATCCAAGCCCATTGTCTTAAGTTTAATGTACACAGGCTTTCTTCTTTTTTTTTCTTTTTTTCTCTCGTGGCACTTTCGAGCCAAAGAAAGGATCACGCCGTATAACCTTCCAAAAATTTCTGTTCTCTAAATCTGGTCCTGGCGTTTCATCAAAAGCCTTTGATTGGGAATAGCTCGGCAATCTTATTAAACACATCCATGACCTGGAAGAGAGAAAAAAAAATTTATAGAAGAACACGGAGAACACAAGAGACTAACTCACCTCTTTATCGTTCTGATACTTCGTTATGTTGGTAGGATTCTGGGAGCACTGCGCATCAAACCACAACAAAGATTAGCTCCTGGACGAAGGAAAACATGCGTGCTGTCTTACATCGATGAGTGCTGCCTGGATTTTGGGATTCTGGAAAGCCATGGCTATCTCTGGATTTGCTACCATTTTCGCCATCACTTCTTCCGGGGACAGTCCTATTTGCTCTGTGATTCCAAAGCTTGTCATGAGCGTGAGAAGACGTGATAAGCGCAACCATACCAAATTGTTGTTTTAGTTCCTGATTATTGGGATTGAAGTTTTTCAGCACGTCCCCCATTTGTCCGTTCTTCCAGGCCCCATCCTCGGTCATGTTATTGCTGTTCAAAACAGATCAGAACAGTGTGGAGAACGTGACAAGAAACTTACAGCATCTCCTGGAGCTGGGTCCTGAATTGAGGATTCTGCATCATCCCTGAAAACCGGAGCATCAGCAGCAATTTTTCTACTCCTATTACTCACATTTGAAAGTGCTGGGATTTCTCATTTCTTGTGGTAAGTACCTGGCAGACAACAGCATTAGTGTCGATTTAAGTGACAATAGTGAATCCTTACGGGTAAACCATTTGTTGAACCGTAGGATCCTCAAGCATCTTTTCCAAATTCTCAACCGAGAAAAAAGAATTTGCTTTTCCTGTAGAAAACGAGTTGGCACCTCACCGAAAATTTAGCTCTTACCATCAGAAGATGATGTTGAAGCCGCACCGTCAGTGTTCCAAGTGAAACCTGTTCCGCTATCTCTTACCTTCAAAGAATAAAGTCAGACTCAAGAAAAAATCCACTTAAACTCGCACTAACCTCTGCATCCTTGAAAAACACGTCGTTCGCATTTTCCTTCACCTCTGTTGCCTCAGCGTTTATTTTAACAGTAGATACTTCCGCCTCCACATTTACATCAGTGAATGCTGCGAAACAGCAACTTTAGCTCGTGAATAGCGTAGCATTGAGAACAAAGACACAAACCGGGTTTGTTATTCTCCGAGACTGGCGTGGGCGTCTGCGTCTCGGAATACGATGTCGCTTCGGTACTTTCGACAACAGCGGTAGCGGAAGCGGATGCTTGAGGTTGAGTAGCCTGGGAAGAAGAAACTGGTGGTTGAAAAGTTTGCATCGGTTGCTGCTGTGGCTGCGGCGGGACAGGAAATGGAAACGGAGGAATGGGCATATTGCCAAATTGGTTTTGTCCAGGGCCAGACATCATCGATTTGAGTGCCTGTTGCATAGCTTGTTTCTGGAAAAACACGAAAGTTAAGACTGGATTTGTAATACGTGAATTTTCTACCTTTACGTAGTTAGCTGCCTGGAACAAAGTACGAGAATTTGTGTCAGCAAAGCGAATGAAAAAAAGGGAGAAAATTGCGTACCCAGGAAAAAAGAACCGAGAGGCCAACGCCAACTCCAACCCAAAGCAATGGAGAACCACTAAGTTACAAAGGCAGAGACAAAATGTAATAGATTAGCCAAGGAAGTAATACTCCATTCACTTACATGTAAGCTGGTTGCGTTGGAGGAACCGAGACAGTTTGAAGCTCTGCCGATCCAGCAGCCTGATCTTGTGCTGCATTTGCGAATTACATACTGCTCCAATGCTGGAAGAACTTAGAATTTACCTGGACTGCGGCTTTGGCACCGGACGGACAATCGCTCGCGATTCGAGAGAGGCGAGAGTACCAGGCGCTGAGGAGCTCTCCGACTGCGGTAAAACCGCACCGAGGAGGACGTGGCCGCGCCCGGTGCTCCATCGCGCCAATGTAGGGCTAGGGCTCCAAACCCTAAGGAATGCGCCATCGCCATCGTCCTCCTACTCTGCCCCTGTGAAACAAAAGAAAAGCTTAATAATTCTGTGAAGATGATAAGCCACGAGGCATCCCCGCCATCGATTCCAGCACCGGCGCTGCACCGTTGGATCCCCACACAAGCACACGTGGCATGCCACGTCAAAAAGCGTTGAACAATCAACGCGCTTGTGGCCGTTGGATGGAGAAATTGACGTTTTACTGGGCATGCAAACGGAATATGCTCCTTTTTGGAGACAGCTTTGCCGGAATATGCTCTCAAAGTAAAGGCAACAGGGTGTGTTTTGCCCTTCGTGCGCGTATAGTAGGTGCCGCCCTAGATATGGAGCTTTGTGCTGTCTAGATCTAGGCGCATTTTTGCCGCTCTAGCTCGATCGCTGCGACAAATCGCTCAGGGCGCTGCGGCTCGTCCGCCAGCGCGTGAGAAATCTGCTAGTCACGGTATGGTATTTCATTTCTAGGCAGGAATCGTAGAGCATTTTCTCAGCTCCGGTGAGGATTTCCACCGACATCTCCCGATCTGGTGCCGCGGGATCGTTCCAGGCTGAAATCTCTGGAAATTTCGAGCTTTTCGGTGGAAATCTCGCGGGACAGGGAACAAGGGAATGGCGCCGCGGGCTATTCGCAAGGCGCTGGGGGCCGTCAAGGATCAGACCACCATCGGCATCGCCAAGGTCGCGGGCTCCAGCGTTCCAGAGCTCGAGGTTGCCGTCGTCAAGGCCACAAGCCATGAAGAGGTGCCCGTGGATGACAAGTACGTCCACGAGCTCCTCTACCTGACCTCCTACTCGCGAGGCTACGTGAATGCGTGCCTGGGGCTGCTGGCCAGGCGGCTCGGCAAGACGAGGAACTGGGTGGTCGCCATCAAAACCCTCATGGTCACGCATCGCCTGCTTCGAGAAGGCGATCCGACCTTCGAGGAGGAGCTGGCTAGAATGGGGAGGAGAATGCTCATGCTCTCAGCCTTCACGGACGAGTCGCGGTCCAATGGGTGGGACTACACGGCGTTCGTTCGGACTTACGCGCTCTACCTCGACGAGCGCCTCGACTGCCATGTCTTTTCTCCCGGACAAGCGCCCAAGCGTGAGCGTGGAGGATACGATGGTGGTGGCTACAGGAACGAGGAGTACAGATACAGCGATTCCAGGGACTACTACGATGATAGACGACGAGAATCTCCTCCGAGACAAACCACCGGCCAGCTCAAGACGAAAGACATGAAGCCCGACATGCTGCTGGAGAAGCTGCCGGTGATGCAGCGGATCATGGAGCGTATGCTGGCTTGCAGGCCCGCGGGTGCTGCGCGGTACCACCGTCTCACCCAGATCTGCCTCTACATGATCATCAAGGAGAGCTTCCAGTTGTATGGAGAGATCCGAGACGGCATCACGGTGCTCCTGGAGGCCTTCTTTGACATGGAGTATCAGGAGTCAACCAAGGCTTTCGACATCTATGCGAAGTCCGCCAAGCAGTCCGAGGAGCTCGACTCCTTTTACAACGTTTGCAAGCACATCGGAGTGGGAAGGTCCTCGGACTACCCCACGATAGTCAAGGTGGCGCAGGACCATCTAGACACTCTGGAAGACTCGCTCAGGGAGAGATCTCGCTCTGGCTCTCGCGCTCAGAGACCAAAGAGCCCTGAGCCCAGTCCGCCACCCAAGGCCGAGGAGTCGGAGCCCGAGGACATCGATTACAATGGTATCAAGGCCTTGCCAGCGCCTCCAGTGGAGCCTCCCGCTCCGGAGCCGGAGCCACAGGTAGAGGAGAAGGACGCCGACCTTCTCAACCTGGACAAGTCGACCATGGTTGCCGAGGGTGACAGGCTCGCGCTGGCCTTGTTCTCCGACGCTCCGTCGGCGAATGGAAAGTGGGAGCCGTTCGGCTCGAGCACTCCCCAGGCCAATGGCGGCAGCGCCGCCTCCTACTCGGAGAATGGCAAAGCCGGGTGGGAGCTTGCGTTGGTGACCGAGGCCAGCAATCTCGCCAAGACTCCCACCACCTCACTCGCCGGCAACTTCGACCAGCTCCTCCTCGACAGCATGTACGAGCAAGGCAGCGTGGCTCAAAAGGCGGTGTCGAGCATGCCGGCCGGGAGCGCCAGCAGTGTCGCGATCCCGGGCAAGCCGACGAACTATCTCGCGCTTCCAGCTCCGTCCGGGACGGTGGACGAGGACCCCTTCTCGGCCTCGCTCGGTGTTCCTCCGCCACCGTTCGTGCAAATGGCGGACATGCAGCAAAAGCAAAGGCTTCTCACTCAGGAGCAGCAGCTATGGAACCAGTACCAGCAAAATGGGATGCAAGGGCAGTATGGCTACACGAGTTACTACGGGAACGGGCATCCTCAGTATGGCCACTATTCTTACGGCATGGGAATGGGCGGAGCATCATACGGGTATGGTTACAATTACTAGCTTTCCTTCGTTGGTTCTTACCTTTGGGAGGAAGAATAAGCTTCGACAGCAGCAGGTATGAAGATCGTCGTCGTCGTCGTGGAGTAATAATATACATACTAGAGAGAGCCAGGTTCCCATTCTTTTTTTTTCTCTCTTGTTCTTCTTTCTCGTTTTTGACCACTCTACACTTTTGTAACTTTTGTTCTTTATATCGAATCGAGGCTGTGTTTTGCTTTTGTTGTGCTGAGCCCAGGCCGAGCATCCATCCAGATTATCAACATTATCAGGACAACGAAAGAAAAGAATACAGAGATTTTCCAAAGCTTCAGTCCAAAATTGGTTATTCAGGTTCTTTGCCTCTCTCTTTTGAAATCTTCGATACTGGTGTTTTCACGCTGCTGGCTTTTGGAAGCCCTCTCCAGGCAAGCGGAGGAAGGTCCGGGCATCGAGCTCTTTATAGTTGAGCTCAAAGTCGGTTTTGTCCCTGCAAGAAAAGATCAAACAGATGAACAGGGAGAACACCCGGTACGTACTTCATGAATCTATCGATTGTCTCTGACGCTCCTTTCTTCATTGTCAGCAGCAGCAACTTGGCCTTGTCGAGATTTCGCTGCTCCATGTACTCGTCGAATTTCTCTGGATCGGTGTCAAGCCTGGCAAAGAAAGAAGTTTAGTGGATCGAGTGTATACCAACGTTACCTCTTCAACGCAGCAGCGCTTTGTTCCTCAAACAGCTTCATGCCTTCCTTGTCATCTCGAGTGAGCGGCTTACCGATTTTACTCTCTACTGCGTCGATCACTTCCATCATTGCCTTGTTGCCCTCGACGTCTTCCATGCCTTTGCTGGAGGAACAAAAGAAGGACGAAATTCGTGACACCGGCCAGACAGAGAAACAGGAGAACTTACGAGGCTTGAAAGCGGCCAAGCTTCTCGTAAAACTGGCGCACAGACTTGGATCGCTGCGCCAATCCTTCCATCATATTTTGTAGCTGCACTTCTGGAGGAGGCAAGCCAACGCTGTTCCACAAGAAAAAGAAAACGAAAAAGATGAATGGAAACTTTGATCGCTGGATGACTTACTTCGATCGGGCTTGCAAGATGTTATCCGAGAGCTCCTTGACAACCTTGGGATCATCAGGGTCGATGACAATCCGGAACTTTCTAAACTCCCTAGTCAAGTTGAACAAAAGCTCCAGCTTCTCGATGAATTTCTCCTTGACAATATCTATGAGAGAAAACCGTAAGAAAGCGCGCAAGAATTGCTCAAAATCACACCTTTTGGCTCCTCCTCTGCCTGCTCGGCAAACGCTCGGCATGACACGCCCTCGAATCCAGACCTCACCGGCTGCCGCATCCAAGATCAATCAATCCAAAATGCAGGATCCCTGGGCTTACCGGATGGAGCCGAGACGCAGCTCGGAGAATCCCTCCCCTCCACATCGCCATTCCTTCGCTACAAGTGCCCCGAAGAACCCTACAAACGAAAAAGCCCTATATCCCCAAGCATCGTTTCAAGGTTCGATTCTGTTTGACTAATTTTGACTCTACGGTCAAAACATGTTGACTTCTTAGGTCAAGGGAATGGTGACATTATAGTCAAAGTCTTCTAGAAGTTTCGGATCTACACTCCAGGCGCCAAAAGATGTGGAAGCTTTTGTCGGGTAAATTCTTGTTGATAGGACGACCGGCAGGGTACGAGAGCGATGAATTGATCGACACAAGAAAATGTGTGTGTGTTTGTGGTGAGAATGATAGAGTGGCTGATGTCAGGCAGTGAAAGTGGAGAACACGTAAGTTACTCTTTTCTCAGGTTTTTTTTTATTTTTTAATATTTAATTTTTTGAAAAGGTCGTAATTTTAAATTAATTTTTCATCCTTTCTGCGAGCTTCAATAATGGTACCAATAGTAATCCTTGTGTCTGATAGGCGCTTTTCCCTTGCCACTTTTCAGAGAATTTCCCGAAGTCCCACGCTTGACTGGCCCCTCCTGCTCTTTGACATGCTCCTCCTATTTTCTCTATGGCCAACTTTCGAAAATATGTTAGTTTGATGTTGCGTGTGTTAGCGCGGGTTCAATCAATCGTATCGATCACGCTTTGTGTGTGTATATAGCGACTTCGATCCGGTCAATAGAGGTCGTCTTGAAATTTTTGTCCAACGAAGTGAGTGACGTCTACGGACACATTACTGGCGCGATTGAGATTGCGACTCGCTTGTTTAACAGCGCAAAGCACTATGAATTTCTATGCCATTCCGATCTAATCTCTTGGGCTAGATAGATTTGTAAAAATCCAAAGTGATTTGATGAGACATATACAGATCTGGAGCTGTGACGTTGGTGTGAGAGTACGGAAAAGATTCCGGGGCTTTTAGACTTTAGGCTGAAGTTCATCCAGCAAAAGGGAAGACAACGACCCCTGGAAAAATCTCTAGACAAAGATCAAAGTCATCCAACACTGAAAAGAGGGACAACTCAGTGGTCTTACACCTAATTTAGATGATAATGGAAGCAATTTGGACAAAGATAGAACTCTTTCGCGTCGACCCGGCTTTGGCTCCATCAAAATCACCATCACGAGGTCGCTGTGATCACAACGCTGTGAACAGCTGAAGCTTGAACCGATGAATTCCAGCCACCAATTCGTCTTGCCAACAAGAAGGCTTGAATTTCTACAAATTCTTTGCAGTTTCATTTTCAAAGTCGTGCTCCAAGTCTATAGGACGTGGCAGAAGTTTTGACACTCAAGGCAAGAGTATCACATGTAAAAAGCCGGCCTGTGTCCACTTGGTGAGGGCCACTTCCTCTGCACGAGTTTCATGGCACCTGTTTTAGATTCCCTTGCTTGTTTCAGCAACCAAAAATTAGTTTTGCCAACTTTTATAAATTTAATATATATCTTAGACAGCACTAAGCAGTCGGAATAAAGTATGGTGCTCTGTAGGAGTGCATTCTCTATGTGAGGCGTGAGCACTGCCTTTGCTTCTTTGCACACCTCTTATCTATTCAGCTCGTCTTTTCTGTTTTCTTTGCTTTCCAGCTGCATGCCACTGGGAAATAAAAAAGGTGGCCACTGTAAACCATGAAGCGTCTAGAGTTGAGCACACAAATGTCCCTTTGGATCTGGCACTGCAGGTGATTGCCACAACATGGACCTGATTATGCTCGGGAAATTTGAGCTAGGCTCTGATATTTGCCAGCTTTTGCCAGGACGAATGTTCGACTGTCATCTCTGCCACGTCTGTAGCCCATTGTCAAACCGCAAAGCCTCTTTGTGAGGTTTGACATGTGACCACCATTTCCGTCAAAGTGCTCCTTGGTAGCAGGCAGAGGTTCTTGCACGGACCCTCTTTTGACACCAAAAACGCCACCTTCCGTCCCTTGTGCATGTCCAAAGAATACCTTGTACAAGCAAAACCAATTCCGGCAGCAAATTGGATGGCCTCATCGACATCGCCCTTTCCCAATCCTCTTGGCCTGTGAGAGAATGTGTCCAGGTTCTGTGTGAGTGATAGGAAGTGACGTCTAATCTTCTGTTGAAATCGATCAGGAAGTCATATCAAAGAAGTTGTATGTAGGTGTTGTTTTGATCTTGTGGTGCCCAGGGAGAATCTTAAGATAGGAGGAGACTTTGCCTTTGACCAACAAGACAAGTTGGCATGGTATTTGGCTAAACTTTAACCAGACAGTTTTCTTGAATCTAAAGCTTGGTCTAATGCAACTGGTGGTTTTGGTGATTTTGTTGTAATACTTAGCTGAAAGACTGTCTCCTCTTAGCAAGAGTAGCTCAAGTTGTTTGCATTGAGAGCTCTATACACAGCAGGACACAAAAGAAATTTGCAAGTTGCAGGAAAAGCCCAGATGGAGACCTTTTGTGATCACACACACACACACACACACACACATGTATGTGTGTGTGTGTGAGAGAGAGAGAGAGAGAGATGGAAGGAAGACAAATGCATCCATCAACACTTGCACCATCTGCCCCAAGAAGGGGACATTCTTTTTGTGTTTGCCACCAACTTTGAGCAAAGGGAAGGGGCTAGAAGAGTTTGTGTGCAGTGCAGCCAAATCTCCACAAATATTTGATGCCTGTTAAAAAGGGCAAGGGCATTCTCCTCGCCCCAGCATATGCCCAGCTCCACTCAACCTTGTGCCACCCCTGTGTGTTTTATTCTATCCAGTTTAAAAGCAAGACACTGATTATGAATTCAGTGATGCAAACAGTGGTACAGTGAAAAATATCATTGGGTTTTATAGTCTAATTTTTGCTGTCAAGTTCAATAGAGCAGTTTGGATCCAGATTCTGCAATCAGCTGGTGTTACAATCGAAAACAAACCTTCGATTCATGCGATTCCCACGAAAGCACAGCTTAAACAAGCGCGAGTGCTTGACACCGTTCACAAAATATGGGGACCGAATATTACATGTCTCGCGCCCATTGAGCCAGCGCAGGCACAACGTTATAACTTATCTGTTGCCGCTGTTCATTATAGCTTTAAAATATAATATTTTTCGAAGTTCAGGAGAAAAAATACTATTTTATTTTATTGCTGTGTATATTAAAGTATTAAAATCGAGAATAAAAGGATGGTCCTTTTCCCGTACAAGTTCATGTGTGCCTATAAATCCGCATCATGAAAATGGTGTGTGGATGTGTAGAGTGCAGAGAAGCTCCTTTTTTGCGAAACAACACTTCCATTGGAACCAATCTATCCAAGCTTTCGTTCATTCCATCCAGGCTAGACTCCCATTTTTCTTTTTTCTAATCGCTTAGTTTGCTTCCTTTAAATTCGCCCTGGAAGAGAGCCATTTCGCCATACACCTGTTACAGTGTGGCGCTTTGAGAATAGCCCTATTTAAATTCTTTGTGTCGCTCAAACGCGGTGGGCTTGATCGATGCGCGACGCTTCTTAGGCCGCAAGCGAGCGATTTCTATGATTCTGTGATCCGGGGCCACACCGCCATCGAAAGCGCATGATTGATGGTATCGAGTGTGTGATCTCCGCGGCTTGCCAAATATTTCGGTGTCCATGGCCCCAATTCCAGCGACGCCGGGCGAGGCATCACGATTCCCAGGGCGAGCTCGCAATGTCGGATGCGGCAGGGAATGCATGGCGAGGATTTCTTGCCCCGGGCGGCGCCATGCATCCGGCGGCGCCGATCGCGCAGGGAATTCCAAGAAATCCGAGGAGGAGCCGGGCGGGGGCGGCGATAGAGAGGTCGTCTCCTACTGGCAGCTCCTCAGCTACGCGGATCGCTACGATGTGGTGCTGATGCTCGTCGGATCGGTGGCGGCGATGGTGAGCGGCTTGATCTTCCCGGCGATTCTGGTCGTCCAGAGCCACCTCATCAACAATTTCGGGAGCCTCCAGAATCGTCCCGTGGAGCTGGCGAGGAGAGTATCTGAGGTAAGATCAAATCGATCGATCCTCAAATCGCTCCCTGGATTCTTTATTTCTTTTCAATGCTTTCTTTCCTTCCGGCTTTTCCTCTTTTTGATTGAGATTGTGTGAGAATCTAGCTTGTTTGTGAAGAAAGCTCCTTTCTTCGCTAATGCTGGTCTGGCTTTAGATCAGCGAGCCCAAGCAAGACTCTCGAGTGTGTGTAAGCGGGGAATGCTCCTCCTGGCTGGCACCAACAAATGCCTGCTCTGGGCATTTAAATTGGCATGGCAGAGATTTGAGTATGGCTTTCTTTTCTCGATCTTCATTTTCTTTTTTGTTCTTCATTTGTTTCTTCGTGCTTGCTTTGGATTGATAGCGGAGTTAGGTGTGAGGGCGGTGGCGTGCCACCAAAAACTTGGCCGAGCACGCAATCACACAAGTGACACCAGGCAGCTCCGTTGTGGGTCGAATGCCTTGTGCGAATTCGTGCAAAATGTTCAATGTTTTCATACTTAGGCCGAACGTTTTTTTTTATCATTCGCCCCTAACACCCAAGTTTTCCAGGATGCGACATTCTTGGTATACACAGCGGCTGTTGCTTTGGTGGCCTCGTACCTCGGTGAGACTTTCCCTTCCTTCGTTGTAAGGTTCCGTTTTAAAATTGTGGTGCTGATGAACTTTGTCTGGTGGCATCCTACAGAAGTAAGCTGCTGGATGAAGACTGGAGAACGGCAAGTGGCAAGAATCCGTGCAGACTACTTGCGTGCGATTCTCAGGCAAAATGTGGGGTATTTTGACAGCGACATGTCCACAGCTGAGGTTGTTGGAAATGTTTCAGTGGACACACTTCTCGTACAAGAAGCGATTAGCGAGAAGGTGAAACCCTTTCCGATATTGCTTACATTTATCTAAAGAAAATCTTGTTACGCTTGCAGGTTGGGAACTTTATCGAAAACTTATCCCACTTCGTGGGTGGATACTTCGTCGGATTCACACAGATATGGAGGCTAGCACTTGTGATGCTGCCGTTTTTCCCGCTGTTGATAATTCCAGGCTCACTGTACAGCAAGGCTCTGTCCGAGTTTGCGATTCGTAGGCAGAGCGCATACAAAGAAGCAGGAACAATTGCTGAACAAGGACTGTCGTCGGTCCGAACGGTCTACTCATTCGTGGCAGAGAAGAAGACGACAGAGAAGTATTCGGCAGCCCTGGATGGCACAGTGAAGCTTGGACTCAAACAAGGACTTGCCAAAGGACTTGCCATGGGTTCCAGTGGCATCAACTTCGCCCTGTGGGCCTTCATGGCGTGGTATGGCAGCGAGCTTGTGATGCAACACCGTGCAAATGGTGGTCAAGTTTTGACAACAGGATTTGCGGTGCTTTCTGGTGGCATGTAAGTTTTTTAAAAATATTTTGTTTCTGTCTTGGTGATCTCATGGCGTTTTCCAGAGCTTTGGGAAATGCTACGCCCAACATGAAAGCTTTTGCAGAAGGACGTGTAGCTGGTACCAGAATTTTCAAAATGATTCAACGCGTTCCCCCTATCGACACAAATGATTCGAGTGGGAAAACGCTTAGCAAAGTTGAAGGTAACTTGGACCTCAAAGAGGTTGAGTTCGCATATCCTTCGAGACCGGGAGCTCTGGTTTTGAAATCTTTCACTCTTCACGTTCCAGCCAGTACGTTCTCCTTTCCAGAGCATAAGTTTGGCGTACTTACGCATATATTTTGCCTTCAGAAAAGACGGTCGCGTTGGTTGGGAGCAGTGGATCTGGAAAGTCCACCATCATTTCTCTGATAGAAAGGTTCTATGATCCTGTTGCTGGTCAAGTTATGCTTGACAACGTGGACATTCGAGAATTGCATCTTATGTGGTTGCGAAGGCAGATGGGACTGGTGAACCAAGAGCCGGGATTATTTGCAACTTCGATACGGGAGAACATTTTGTATGGGAAAGAAAACGCGAGCATGGAAGAGATTACTCACGCAGCAAAACTTGCCAACGCGCACGACTTCATACAGAGAATGCCGAGAGGCTACGACACACAAGTAAGCTCACTTCTAAATCCAAATTTTGTCTTACTATAATTATTTCAGGTTGGAGAACGTGGTGTTCAGCTTTCTGGTGGACAAAAGCAAAGAATTGCCATAGCACGAGCATTGATTCGAAATCCGCCAATTCTTTTGCTGGATGAAGCGACTAGTGCTCTAGACAGTCTCTCGGAGCAAGCAGTTCAGCAAGCACTAGAAAGGGCACGTATGGAGCGGACAACGGTCATAGTGGCTCACAGGTTATCGACAGTTCAAGAAGCTGATCTGATTGTAGTTATGGATTCTGGTATAGCGGTCGAATCCGGCAGTCACGAAGAGCTTGTAGCTGAGAAGACGGGGGTGTACGCTTCTCTACTCATGAAGCAAGCAAACAGCTCCGGGCATTATGAAATCAATCCCGCAACAGAACAAGTCATGAAAGTCTCATCGGCGACTGAAGGGGATCTCGTCGACGTGGAACTTTCAGCAACCAGTGAGAAGGATATTAACAGGTACACAAGACTTCCATCAAGAACCAGCAGGAAGGTGAAGAGCAAGCCAAAAGTTAAGAAGCCGTCCGTTGCCAGACTTCTGGCACTAAACAAGCCCGAGTGGAAGCAAGGCCTTCTGGGACTCTGGGGTGCAGTGTCTTTTGGATTCGTCCATCCGTTTTACGCATTTCTTCTTGGTAGCATGGTCGCAAGCTACTACACGACTGACGTAGAGAAGCTTCACCAAACAGTTCGAATTCACGTCTACGCCTTCCTCGGTCTGGGAGTTGCTTCGTTCATTGTGAACATTGTGCAACATTGCAGCTTTGCGGCACTTGGCGAGAGCTTGACAAAGAGGGTACGTGAGAAGTTGCTGGCTTCAATGCTCAGTTTTGAAGTCGGCTGGTTCGATAGAGAAGAAAACTCAACTGGTGCTTTGTGCTCCAGACTAGCTTCGGATGCAAGCATGGTGAGTTCTTTTTTACGTTTCTCCTATTTATTCTCACCCTCCTTTACCATGTTGCAGGTTCGTGGACTTGTTGGTGATCGTATTTCTCTACTCGTCCAGACAGCAAGCGCAACGTCAGTGAGCTTTATCGTTGGGCTTATAACTTCGTGGAAGCTGGCCATGGTGATAATAGCGATACAACCACTCATCATCCTCTGCTACTACGTGAAAAATATATGTCTGCGAGGATTTGCTCAGAATACTGCGGCAGCACAGAGGGAAGCCTGCAAAATTGCAAGCGAGGCAGTATCACATCACCGGACAGTCACGGCATTCTCGTCACAGGAGCGGGTTCTGGCGTTTTTTAAGTCGAAGCTCGAAGTTCCGATTCGAGAGACCATGAAGCGGTCACATATTGCGGGGTTTAGCCTGGGAGTAGCTCAGTTTATTCTCTACGCATCGTGGGGGCTGGATTTTTGGTATGGAGGCCTGCTGGTGAAGCACGGGGAGAGCACGTTTGGTGCGGTTTTGAAGACGATTTTCATATTGGTGAGCACGGGACGAGTTTTAGCCGAAGCGGGAACTCTCAGTCCTGATCTTGCCAAGGGGGTCTCAGCGGTGAAGTCCGTGTTTGAGATTTTGGACAGGAAGACAGAGATAGATGCAGAGAAGGACTCTGCCAAGTGTGTGCCGGTTCTCAAAGGTGACGTCGAGTTCTACGACGTCTACTTCGCGTACCCATCGAGGCCGGACTTGCTCGTGCTGAAAAACTTCAGGCTGCGAGTAAATGCTGGCCAGACTGTAGCACTGGTTGGCGAAAGCGGCTGCGGGAAGTCCTCTGCCATCGGACTGATCGAGAGGTTTTACGATCCGATTGGTGGGAAGGTTACCATCGATGGCAGGGACATCCGGGGATTGAGTCTAAAGTGGCTGAGAAGACAGATTGCTCTTGTGAGCCAGGAGCCGACGCTGTTTGCCACAAGTATCTGGGAGAACATCGCTTACGGGACCGAGAACGCGAGTGATTCGGAAGTGGTGGAGGCAGCACGAGCAGCAAACGCTCACAGCTTCATCAGGTAAACTTTCAACACTCCTAGCAACTATATTCTTCATGTCTGTTTTCGTGTATTCGTGTTCTTCAGCTAGTGCTAGACTTTTCCTTGCTTTTGATATTGCTTGTGTGCTTCTCTTGTTTTCATGAGGTTTGTTTTCGTTTTCATGACTTCCATTCTTTCATATATTTTCACGATATGCTTCATGTTTGTTCTCGTGCCTTCGTGTTCTTCACCTAGTGCTAGACTTTTCCGTGCTTTCTTTCTCTTGTTTTCGTGGGATTTGCTTTTGATATTGCTTGTGCGATTCTCTTGTTTTCGTGGGATTTGCTTTCGTTTTCATGACTTCCGTTCTTTTTCGTCATTTACTTGGCACTGATAGAATCGACTTTGCAGCGCTTTGCCGGATGGCTACTCGACGTTCGCGGGCGAGAAAGGTCTCCAGCTCTCCGGCGGGCAGAAGCAACGCATCGCAATCGCGCGGGCCATCCTCAAGAACCCGGCGATCCTCCTGCTGGACGAGGCAACGAGCGCTCTCGACGCCGAGTCGGAGGAGATCGTCCAGCAGGCTCTAGAGACGATAATGGCCAGCCGGACGACGATCGTGGTGGCTCACAGGCTATCCACGATCCAAAATGCCGACTCCATAGCCGTGGTCCAGGACGGTAGCGTTGTGGAGCAAGGCTCTCACGAGGATCTCCTCCAATGGCAAGGTATGGAGGAGGAAGGAGAAGACGAGAACGAAGAAGCCACCATGGCCGCTACTAACACCATAGCCAAGAAGAGGAAGACGAACAAGGGAGTCTACTTCTCATTGATTCACAGGCAATACTTCGCTGGTCGCGCCTCTTTACAAAAAGATTCGTAGAATAATTTCTTGTTAGATTGTGAAGAGCCCTAAAAACAGAGTAGGGTGAATCTTCGTTAAATATTAAGAGCCCTTTTGTTTCAAATATCGCGCCCAAGAAGTGGAGGGAGCTAGGGTTTGCAGAGCGCAATGCGAGGGCGGGATCGATGCGGTGAGTCGACTATGGGCGATTCTAGGCTGGATTGAGTAGCGGCAGCTTAGATCTCCAGGATTTGTGAGTCGCGGGCGATGGATTTTGAGCCTCCCTCGTTTTCTCTGGGCTTAGATGAGACGCAGGTGCCGTCTTTCTCGTTGGGGCTGGACGATTTTTTTTCTGCCGCTCCAGCGGCGGGCGTGAGTGGAAGGAGGGATGATGCGGGTAGCGCTAGAGCAGGTGCTAGGTCGTCATTTGCTACAAATGAGAGTTCTTTCCTGGCCGATGACGATGGTGGTGTTGATCTTGTCGAAGCCACTCCAAAGAGAAGTTTGAAGCGTCTTCGTCGCGGACCATCAAAGAGCGTTTTTGAGGAGAAGACGTGCTCACCGTCGACGAGAAGTGTTGTTACAGATACAAGTTGTGCTGACGAGATTGAGGAGTTTTCTTCCGAAGAGGAACAGCCAAATAGTAAGTTTCTTTCTCTACGGACTTCTTATTTGATTTTCTCTTTCTTTTTTTTTTTGGTAGGATCTCAATCCCAGTCGTATAATCCCAGATCGTTCTCTGCGCTCAAGCCCGTCAGAACACCTCCAGTATATGAAAGAAGAGAAGCAAACGAGGAAATTCTACCTTCGGCTTTGCATTCCCGAGTAACATGTAAGAAAACCAGCCTTGGTTCCAAGGAGGTAAAGTTCCAAGGGATAGAGAATACGTACGCCAGTCCGCCATCGACATTTTCCACTGCTGGCGTCGACTGGTCGTCAGCTGGAAAGGCAAGCTCAAGCTCGGGAACCGAAAAAGCAAAGACTCCCTTATACGAGTTCCGAGACAACACGATCTGTATAGACCTTGATGAGGAGTACGAAGAACAACCAGGCAGCTCCTTTCCGTCCACAGACATGCAGACCGCTCAACTCAGACGCGAGAGATTTCCTCACTTTTTATCTGTTGATGATCTCGAACAAGGCAACAGCGGAGAGCCTGTATATATCGACTACAGGTACGGGTTTTGTCTTCGATGAAGCTGATCGTACACTGAAAATAATTGCAGAGGGCAATTTGGAAGAAACAGTGCAGTAAGAGCCAAGTTCTCGGGCCCGGCTGGTTCTAAGGATTTCGACGCTGTTCAAACACAGCCGCAAGCAAGGAGCAAGACTACTCGAGGCAATAAGCGGAAGAATGGAAACTCCAATGCGCGGATCCTTCAAGAAAATGCCAGCACAGGAACGACGGGAAGGAAAGGATATTGGTTAACATCGGGTGGTAGCAAGGTACTTTTCGTTCTCTTGGTTTTGGTACTGTTATGATAATTGGCAAAATCTCAGGTGTATGTCACGGCCGAAGGACAACGTATGATGGGTAAAGAAGGCTACAAACGCTACATGAAGGTATTGGTTGTTTTGATGTGTTTGCATCCCAACCTTTTTGTTATCAGGAGAATGGAAAATCTGGCAAGCCTAGAAGGAAGGCTGGTAGAAAGTCAAGGAAGAAAAACTAAGATTAATGTGAGTAAGCTTTGTAAGTTGCCTACTCTGGTGAGTCTTTTGTGATTCCTGGATCGAAGATTCATTGTGTTTTAGCGTGTTTCGAGGTGGCTACCCAAGCTGCTGACTGTTCACAGCCACTTCCTTACTGAAGTACTTGGAGAGTATGAAGGATGCATCCGAGGAGGATCTAGACGAACTGGACGAGATTGACAAAGATACAGAAATGGTGGGTTTCTTCAGGCTCATGGTTTCCTACGGACGAAAGCGGAAAAGGGAGAGTTTGGAAGCCCCTGATGAGCTTCGTGCCCGCGTGAAATTGTTGGAATCGTTCAAGCCCACACTTGGTAAGCTTGTGGCTTGTAATTATAACTTATAAAGATGTATGGTTTTGTAGATGATCTTTCTTCTCAGAACGCGCTCTACCTCAAGGAAGCGACTACGCTCTTGGGATAGACACTTCGATGCTAGTAAGCTGGAACCGCTGTGGGTTGGATACCGTAGGTCCTCTGGAAGGTTTCTGGAATCGGTTTGTCTCGGACGCGGAACCCGATCCTTCAGGCTATCGAAAACCTCGGGCTGGAGGTGTGCGTGGTTGACGAGGAACAGGACTGGGATACAGTTCAGAAGCAATGCGAGACTTTCATGCGCGTGATGGCGGAGGTCATGGCGATCGTCTGGGGAAGGAGGTGACTTACAGCATTGCTCAACGGCAGTGATACATCCTTGTGAGCGGTTCTCCAAGAATGCCTGCACAAGGTAAGTCAGATAAGAACGTGACTGCTCACAAGCTAGCAGAAGCACGGGGAGAGCTGGTCCGCTTTTCGAATCAGTGTTTCCTAGCGAAATACGAAGCTCAGAAGCTCGCACTGGGCTACAACCCAGATCCGGATATCAGCAACACTGTCAGGGGCTTTGCCTTCACGGGCGGGAGGTTGAGGCTGTCACAGTGGCTCACTCGGTTCTTGACATCCCGAAGGGTGTTATTTTCCAGCGACAGTGCCTGATCAAGGACGGGCAACCGGTTGACGACAGCCAACCGCTTAAGTACTACCCGGTTGACGCGTGGGGAGAGTGCATGAAGAGCATCGTGTGGCACTGCGCTAACAAGGCGTACGAGGACTTCCAACTTCAAGCGAGAGCGGAGGAGCGTGGCGCGGAGGACAGCAACTCAAAGTGAGAGCCGCTGGCGGATACAGGATTGGTGGCGAAAGTTTGGAGCTGGCGGTCCGCACGAATGCAGCAGCGGCAGTGAGGCAGTGACGGTGAACCGGGTCCCTCGGCTATGTCAACTGTGGTCTCAGTGACGGTGAATGGCCAGCAGTGGTGGCTGAAGCTGGGGCCAAACAGGGACGAGAGGCAAGCGGAGATGGCGCTCATGCCATCGAAGAAGTGTGCCTGGGAGCTTTGGTTCCAGGTTGAGCGCGACATGTTCTCCCATTCCCTGCTGCAAGACCTGGTAGCCTTTCCGGTGGAGGTGGAGGGAATCGGGAGACCAGCTATCGACTGGGGACTGGTCTGCGGGCCGGGGCTGGATCCTCTCGCGGACGCTGTAGCGAAGGCCTGGCCGTGTGCTTTCGTCAAAGTCTGGCTTCCGCTGATAACAGCTTGGACCCTGTCGCCGGACTGTGCACTGTTCTTTGTGGAACCTCAGGACTTGAAAGACTGCGTACAGGGACTACTATACTGCTGCTTGATGCTGCTCAATGGTGGTAGTCTTCCGTGGAAGGAAGCGGCGGCTTCCAGAAACGTCTACCAAGTTCTTTGTGCCCGGTATGAAGCAATGCGCAAGATGGCCGAAGATGAGAGCTTCATACTGAATCTTCAAGCGGCTTGTTGATACCTCCACCATGAAGATTGGCGTTCTAAAAGTCAATGACAGTAATATATTCAATGCGAGTCAATGCATTGAGCTTATTGACTGCCTTTGAGTGTTTGTTGAGCCTGAAAGCTTGACCTTAACTTTGAAGTTCAGTAAGTGCTCCAGCTTGTCCTCTGTGGCGTCGCCACCATTAATGGAAACACAGCAGCAGCAATAGCGTCGGCGTGCTCCCGTCCTTGCTCGTATGTATATATTAACTACAGGTAATTCTTCTTTGATGAAATAACAACAGAGGGCAAGGACAATAAGTGCAAGGTGAAAAAATTCCACACTAACTCTCGTAAGAAAACGCTATAAATGCATGTTTCAAAGCCACAAGTCACAGAGGATTTAGAGGTCCTGGGCAAGATCGACAAGGATGGGGTTTCTTCAGGCTCATGCTTGGACGAAAGCGAAGCTATGAAATCGGAACCCACTCTTGGTAAGCTTACATGTTTTTCTGATGGTTTTTAGATGGTCGACCTCAAGGAAGTGACTACGCTCTCACTTCGGTGCCAATACCGCTGTGGGTTGGATATCGTCCTCTGGAACGTTTCTGGACTCGGTTTGTCACGGACCCGGACCCCAACACGAACTGAAGAGAAGAAGAGCGGAAGCTACGATGGTGGATGACTCCAAGGATAGTCGTATATAATATCAAAGATATATATACATGATGAAGAGACACGCCTCTAGCCTACACCTGGATCAGTGAAGTGGCACTCCTGCCATCTAGGATCATGTCATAGAGAGCGTATACTCAACACGAACATCCTGCAGGCTATCGAAAACCTCAGGCTGGAGGTGTGTGTGGTTGGGATACAGTTAAGAAGCAATACGAGAGCTTCATGCACGTGGTGGCGGAGGTCATGGCGATTGTGGTTCGGCATGCGAAAGGAGGTGACTTACGGCATTGATCAACTGGCCAGCACAAGGAAGCGGCAGTGCCACATCTTTGTGAGCGGTTCTCCAAGAATGCCTGCACAAGGCAAGTCAGATAAGAAGGTGACTACCACAAGCTAGCAGAAGCACGGGGAGAGCTCGTGCGCCTCTCAAACCAGTGCTTCCAGGCGAAATACGAAGCTCAGAGAAACGCAGAACGGTGCACAAATCTGGATTTCAGCAACACTTTCAGGGGCTTTGCCTTCACTGGGCGGAGGCTCTCCACTCTGTTCTTGACATCCCGAAGGGTGTTATTTTCCAGCGACAGCGCCTGCTCAATCAGCCGGTTGACGGTGAACCGTTAGACTACTACCCATGAAGAGCATTGTGTGGCACTGTGCCAACGACGTGTACGAGGATTTCCAGCTTCAAGCGAGAGCTGAGGAGCAGTGCACCTGTGAAGCGAAGGACAGCAAGTCAAAGTGAGAGCAACTAGTGGATACAGGATTGGTAACGAAAGTTTGGAGATGGCAATCCACGTGAAGGCCTAGGCAGTGGAGGCGGTGACGGTGAACCGGGCCGCTCGTGCCGCGGCTCTGTCGACTGTAGTCTCAGTGACGATTAATGGCGAGCAGTGGTGGCTGAAGCTGGGGCCGAACAGGAACGCGAGGCAAGCGCAGATGGTGCTCATGTCATCCAAGTGGCCGTGGGAGTTTTGGTTCCAGGTTGAGCGTGACATGTTCTGACACTCCCTGCTGCAAGACGAGGAACTGGCAGCCTTTCCGGTGGAGGTGAAGGGAATTGATAGACCACCCATGCTAATTCGAGACGCTGGTTTCGCGCTAGAGGAAAGGCCTCCTTTCACCACGGCAAATGGCGAGCAGCTCTATGCAACGCTCGTCCGGGTTTTCAACGCGCATGGCATTTGCCACAACGACATTGCCCTGCGGAACATATGCTGCAAAAATGGTGTGTACCACCTCATTGACTGGGGGATGGCCTGTCGGCCGGGGCTCGATCCTCTCAGGGAGCTGTAGCAAAGGCCTGGCCGCGTGCTCTCGTCACAGTCTCGATCCCGCCGATAAAAGATTGGGAGCTGTGCACTGTTCTTTGAGGAACCTCGGAACCTGAAAGACTGCGTCCAGGGACTGTTTACTGCTGCTTGATGGTGGTAGCCTTCCGTGGGAGGACCAGAGACCCCTCACAGGTTTTTTGTGTCCGGGTTGTGACTATGCTCAAGATGGAGACCTTCATGGAGCAGAACTGGATCTTCAAGCCGCTTGTTAGATAGTAAGAAAAACTGCCATTGTACCATTGGAGAATGGCAGGAGGTCATCTATTTATCTCTATCTATATGTTGCTTTGATAGCGCATCGTGATGCAAACATGCAAGATTGAAATTTGAGGCCGCATCTTCGACGTCTTCCTCCCCTCCTTCGTTGGCCGTAAAATGTATGATAAATTAATTGCTACAAAGTTTGACCAAGTGCACAGTCAATTGTCAAAAGCGTCAACCTTGACCATGAAATGGTAATTCTAGTTCAAACGCGATGGTGGTGGTGCACAGGCTCGTCCATGATCTTGGCCTCCAACAGCTTGGCTCTCAGGCTGTTGTCTCGGCTGCTCGACCGCGGCCAATTCACGTCCCCGGAAGAGCTCCAGCTATTTCTCTGGGGCGTCGCCACCATCGAGGAGCTCATCAATGGAAACGACGAGTGCAGCAGAGGCGACAGCGTCGGCGTGCTCCCGTCTTGGCTCCTCCTGTGCTGTGCGTACTCGAGAGCGAAATCATCCTCAGCTTTGCATAGCGTTTGTTGATCCCCGTCCTCGTCTTCCTCTTCGTCCTCCTCGTTGTTGCCATGCCAAGCTCCTCCTCCTCTGTGCTGCCTGGAAGAAGCTCGGACGCTCTCCATGTAGAGCTCCTGCTGCTCTGGAATCGTGTCGATCCTTCTGCTCGGGCCGAAACCATAGCCCTCACCTCGTCCATCGAAGCAGCTCTCGTCCGGACCATTCTCTTGCTCCGTCGACTGCTGCTCCACCAGGCTGTTCTCGTCGTAAGTTCGCTGCCTCCGAAGCCTCCTCCGTCCCCTGACGGCTTTTCTCCGCAGCTCTTGCCTCTTCTCGGCTGGATTGTCCGCCTGGCCCTGCTTGTTCCTGGCGTAAGTCCAGCGGTTCCCTTGCGTTCGATCGTAGAGCGATTCCTTGTTCAGATCGATCGAGTGTAAGTCCTCCTCGGCCGAGCTCCCAGTCTCGTTTGGCTTCCGCAGGGAATCCACCGCGGCTCGCAGCGTCGTCGCCTTGTCCAGCTCCTGGCTCTCGCCGGCTCTTGCCGCGGACTTGTTCCGCAGAAACTCCTCCAGCTCGCCTCGAAGCCTGTCCAGGCTCGCGTTCTTCTCTTCCAGTTCGTGGCGCGCTTCCGCGAGTTTCATTTGGACTCGCTCCTCCCGCCACACCTCCGCCATTTGCAGCATCCTTCGCTCCTCCTCCACCTCCTCGCGGACTTTCTCCGACTCTCGCTTGAGCTCCTCCACCTCCGCCTTGTCCTGCCCGATCTCACGAGCCAGCTCGTCGCACACTTCCTCCATCAGCTGCCTCGCCTTTCTCTCTCGCTCCAGATCGTTCATGGCTTTCGAGAGAGCCGAGCTTGTCTCTTCCAGCTGCCGTGCCAGCTTCCGGTTCAGGTGCTCGGCCTTGCGTTTATGCCGCTTCTCTTCCTCGGCCTCGCTCTTCGCCTCGATAACGATGGCTCGCCACCTTTCCTGTTCTTTGGCTCGCCATGCAGCCCTCTCGCTCTCGCTTCTCTCCAAGAGGATCTCGACGTCCCTGCGAGCCGCTTTGTTGGCGTGTTCCAGCTCTCTCACCCGCTGTCGTGTGTGTTCTAGCTCCACCCGTAGAACAGTAGCCAAAGGAGTCGATCCGGCTTGTTGCTGGTCCATGCCCCGGATGTGCGATAGAACTTTGAGGAAATCATTCGAGTTTGGAAGGCATTCTTTTACTCGCGAAGCAACTTCGTCGACCATATCTTGCTGCTGCTGTTGCTGCTGTTTATTCTGGGACTCCATCTACGGAAAAAAGAAAAAATAGAAACAGTTTAGTACAGGCCATGCAACGCAATGCAATGCAAGAATAGTCACCTCAAAGCTGTGCCGGGATGTTTCCGACGCGTAGAGTTCTTCCGACGCTCTTCGGCTGTGATAGGTTACCGAGTCCGAGTATGGGCTTCTTCTCTGATTGTTAGTGGCCTGCGAGGCACAAACTTACATCAGAAACAAAGTGATCCAAACTTGCAAAACTCGCAACTCTAGAGAGAAAAAAAAATCTGGGAAAAGCACTCAACTAGAGAGGAAAGAAAGAGAAAACAAGGCTTTGCTTACATTGTGAGGAACGGGGGTCGTAGGCGACGGTGGAGGCAGCATCAGATGCTTTGGACTTGCAACGGACTCCCGCTGCCTGGCCTGTGACGATGAGCGCGAGCGCATTTTAGCCGACGAAGGTGGGCCTCCTCTGGCAGGACAAAGCGGAAGCTCCTGGAGCTCCCACAGCGTGGCGGCTAACTTTCGTGCCGAGATAGTTATCTGGCGACCGGCAGCCTCGCTCCCCGCCATGATCCCGTCGTAGGAAGGATTCTCGTACAGCTTCCAGCTCGGAACTGGCGTCGTAGGCCCCCGCTTCCCAGCCAGTATCGCACGCCTGATGCGTATGTTTGCTGGCCTGTGCACCGCATCACCGCTCTTTCTCGCTTGATGCTGCTGCTGTTGATGAACAACAATGGCCTTGGATCTGCCCATATCCCTCCTGTCCGCTCCTCCTTTTATCCCTATCTATGACTACACACCTCTGAGATGGGAAAGGAGGAGAAAAAACTCTTCTTTTTCCTCGCTGCTTTGTCCAGAAGCTCAAAGCCCACGACTCTCACATCTTGTAGCGGTGACCAGCAGCGGTGAGCGGCTGGATCCACCAGCCATGGTTTCTAGTTCCGTGCCTAGAAGAAAGAATAGACTACTCCTTCCTCCCACCCCTTACATTTTGTCTCACTTCTTTAGCCTGCTCTGGAAATAATATAAAAGCGTACCCGGGTGATCCGATCTGTATCTGTATCCGGCTTTGGTGTGATATTCGGCCTGCCACAGGGAGATGCCCATACCTCTCTTTGTATGTTTGTGTGAGACTGTGAACAAAACTCCCTGAAACAGAGCACACAAACAAAGAACGTTGTAAGTTCTGTTCTTCCTGTACACTTGCAACACTTGTACAGTATGAAAGCTCCCAAGAACTCCCAAGAAGGAAGAGGAAAAGGAGTGCCCCGAGTGAGAGCCTATCACTTTCCTTGCTCTCACTGCTAATTAATGGATAATTCCTCTCGCTGGGATGTTGCGGGATATGGAGTATCAATCACTCAATTCGGCAACAACAAGAGAGAGAGAGCTAAAATAGCAGTGGTACGAGAATGATAGCAGCAGCAGCAAGCACGAGTACAAACAAGCATCCACAAAAGAAATACAAGTCTAATGAGCCAAGGACACAGGGCCAGGCCCAGAGAAAGCCACTAGCTAGTTAAACTTTAGCACGGCGGCATTGGATTCCAAAAACAAGCCACAAGAAATTCCTGCCTCTCTTCCAAGTCTCTCCTTTTCCTTTTCTTTTCTCTCAAGCACGCAAGCCCATATCAGTATCAGTGCCTTGGCATTGCATCAGGTGTGGATAGTTTCTCAACAGGACTTACCTGAGAAATGAGAAAACTTTCAGCGATCAAGTGTAGAGCATCACTTGCAAGGCATTTCCGGGCAAGAAAAACATGGATTCGCAGCGCACAGGCATGGCGCATTCTAGGAACTCAACAGGAAAAGAGCGGCATTGCTTGGATTTGGAGAGGAAGAAAGCGCACATTCCAAACCCTACATCCTAAACACTCTTACCTTTAATAAATTATCGTAACAGTTAGGTTCTAATAACTTTAAAGGTCATTGTGTATCAAGTCAAAAGTGTATCTCTTTTCGCTCCGCGAAAAACTTTCCCGAGGGATAATCCTCAGCTTCAAGCGTTGCAAGCCAAACCGGGGTGTCTGCCCCTTGTTCAGCTGTAAAATGGCCTTCACCGCCAGTCAAGTCCGTTTTTGTATATCCTGGGCACACCGAGTTGACACTAATCTTGTTGTTTTGCAGCTTCTGTGCGAGAATCCTGGTGTAGGCGTTGAGCGCAAACTTGGACATGCAGTAATCCGCGTCCATGTTTGGGTAGCCTTCCTCCACCACCTTTCCTCTCTCAACAGCACCCCGAAACTCTTGCAAGCACAAGTCAATCACTTGCTCGCTGAGATGTTCCGCATCAGAGAACTTTGCCACTTGAAACTCATTCTTGAGAGGCTGCCAAGAAACATTACAAAATCTAAAACAACACATACATTTAAGAGAAACACTTACAAGAAAGTCATTGTTAAGCTGGCCGAGGCGGGAGCTTATGTTGATAATCCGGCCTCCAGGCTTGATTATCGGGAGGACCGCTTGAGCCATCCGCTTGGCACCATAGTAATTCGTCTCAAAAAGTGCTTGGGCTCCTTCCACTTCGTTCTCAAAGCCCTTGGACTTGATCCCCGCATTATTCACCTTTGAAGAACACACAAGCTTTTCAATCTTTGGAAGAATTCCTCTCTTACCACTCTCTTCTTACCAGGATATCTATGGCGCCAAACTTTTGCTGGAGCCAAGCGGCCATAGCGGACACGGATTGCGAGCTCGAGACGTCCAGCTGATGGAATTCGGCTTCCAGGCCTTGCGATTTGAGCCGCTCCAACGCATCAATTCCTCTCTTTGCGTCACGGGCCGTGAGAACGGTCGTGAATCCCTTGCTCGCGAGCTGCCTCACAATCTCGAAACCAATCCCCTTGTTACTTCCTGTAACTACAGCCACTTTGCTCTCTCGCTTCGCCATAGCTCTCTCTCTCTCTCTCTCTCTATCGGATAACTTTCTAACAAGTCACAAAGGACACGAAACCACGAAAGTCACAAAATCATCGTGGACACGGAAACCACACAGACAACTTTGTAACAAAAGTCACACACACACACACACACAAAATTTCAAGGACATGGAACGAGCATGAAAGCTTCCCTGATCTCACAAGCCTTTTTTTTTTCTTATTATTTCTCACATTTGTAAGACGCACAAAAAGTAATATGACCACCACTCTTAACTCGACGCCCCCTTCACAGGGAAGAAGAAAAAGAAAAAGGAGATAGAAAAAAAAGAGAAGAAAACCGTTCCTGCCCCTCAAACCTCTGTAAAAATGTTAAAGCAATGATCCAAAACAAATCTCCGCTCGCGCGATCACGATGTTTGAGGTGACAAAATCGACTGTAGCGCAGCCTGCTGCTGAGGTTGCAACGCAGACCATGTCGAAGCAAGAGCAGCCGGGGGGAGTCTTTGTTGCATCTGTCTCAGCAAAGTCACCATGCGTGCAGCAGTTTGTTCGTTTGATAGCTCTGCTCCCGAGCTAAGCACCTGAATTCACCGGGAGAAAGAATGATTCCAAGAAGCTCAGGCCTTCTAAAAATCTTACCTCTGCAAAAACGGAGACGATCTTTGGTAGGAACTGATTGTTGGGGCCGAGAAGTTGGGGATCCGAGCTGCTTGGACACATTGCAAATAAGTTCTAACCAGAAATCTGAAGGATGCTTTGTTTACCTTTCAACCATGCTACAGAGCTGCTCGTGGACAATTTTGGCTTCCACAAGGTCACCTTTGAGTGGTAAACAGCCCAACCAAGCAGGGACGACCTGATGAGAAACACACACAAAGTGATGATCAGTACATAACAGAGAAGAACACACACACACACACCTGTGTAGCATCGATGCTATCTCTTTGGAACTGACATATTTTTCCAAGAGCAGACACAGCATTATCGGTTGCCATGATGTTATCCTGTTGCCGCGCAGCGGGATGGCTTACAACAGCATTCAAACGCTCCAAAGCCTCTGTAAATAAACATACAGTTTAGCCGCAGAAACAAGCCGGTAATGTAACCTCGGACAACAGGCTTGAATTTTGCTCCACCAAACTCAGCACATACACCAATGCCGTATACGGCAGCCTGTGATACATAAACAAGCGAATGAATGAACGCACTTTCTAGTTCTTGTTTTAGCCAACCTGTCGGACATCACAATTGATGTCATTGGCTGCTTCCAGCATGAACGGCAGGAACGTATCATAGTATCTGCAGACACAAAAGGCGTATAAGAGAATTTTAATCGTAAAAACTGGCAATACTTGATTGCAGCTTCTCCACACTGCTCGGCGATGTCGTCAAAAATACAAATTGCGATTCTCCGTTCTTCAGATGTTCGATCTTTAGACTTCCAACCATTAAAACAAGAGGTAAGCAACCGAGACGAATATATACTAGGCGTCTTACCAGCATAGGTGTCACGAAAGGCATGAGCTCGTCAAAGAAAGGAACAAAAGACGCTTTGAACGTTTTGATGAGTGTTCCAATACATTCCCCAATCTATGAAAACTCGTTGAGATGTTAAAAGAAATAAATAGCAGAATCACCTGATCAAAAACTTCGTCTTCCTGTTCGTTTTCTTCGTGTAGCAACTCACGCTCTTCTGCATCAAAATCTTCTGTCTTTGTTCGTTCCGCACGATCCCTTTTCCGTGTGCTGCTCGCTGTCAACACTTGCTTGAACTCCTCAACAATAGCTTTTATTTGCCCTTGATCGAGCATTGGACCAACAAGCTGCAAACATATGCACCTATAATTATTTCGATTCCTCAATAAAACTGGAATAGCATACCTGAATACACTCATTCAAGGAGTCCAGCATACTAGAAATTATTTCAGTCTCGGGCTCCTGTAAATTGACCATTACCATCTGAAAAAAACTACAAACTAGAAGAAAACCTTGCGTAGAGCTTCGATAAGAGGCGGTACTATGTAGTCCGTCAGTTGCTTCACATAAGTTTGATCCCGCCCTTGTGCTTGTCCTTTCTCCACAGCCAGCTTACCAGACCTCAGAAGCTCAGGCATAGCTGTTCATATATACATGATAAATTTATCGTACAACTAAAGTATGAAACATACCTGAAACAGCGGCTTTTCGAACTTCTTCATGAAAGTAAAACTTCAATAAGGGTACAAGGATCGGCGCGACCTGAAAGTAAACGGGGAATTACATGTAATGCATTGTTGATCCGCCATAGCGTACCTACCTGCTCGATCCACGGAAAGAACCCTTCCTTGAGTTCGTCCGCATAACAACACAACATATTACAAGCTGTTGCCTTTTCTTCCAGAACGCTTGTTCTAATACCAATTTTCTTGTCCCCGATAGTGATTGTCTCCACACTAGCATATAGTGGAAAAATTAAAGTTATGGTAGTGCAGCAAATCCAAAGAATACCTGTCGTCATCTGTATCGTTCCCTTCGTCCTCGGTGTCCGCATCCGTTATGGTCACGTCTGGTTTAAGTTGCGCAGAGCGCAGAAGGGGTGGCATAACAACATTCATATACGGTAAAAATTCTTGACCCAAACATTTACATAGCCGGGCCCAAGCCTGAAATTAAATGAGGAGATAAAACAAAACCACATCGTTCCTATGAAAGGAGATACAAACCTGCAGCATGTAGCTAATGGTTGGATCGTCATCCTCCAAGTGCGCACCCTGGAGGCTCATCAAAACTTCCATCACCTGGAAACGTAGAGACATTAGAATATAAGCAACCGTTTCCATAAGAAACATACCTGCTTCGCATCATCTCTGAACTTGTCTTTGCCGACGGCCATACCTACAAGGCTGATACACTCCATAGACTTCGCTCTAAGCATGCGGTTTTGCTTGTCTGTGGCATTTATAAGAATAGTCTTCAGGTACGGCATGACTGCATCGTAATACTTTTGGAATTGAACCTGCAAATATCGAACGTGAGATGTCGAAGGGCAAGCGTCATCATGAATTAACCTGAGCGGAATCAGCGACAGAAGCCAGTGCTGTCAAAGCACCTTCTTGCACCATTCTTTTTCCATTCTGATAGAAACAACGATGTTGAAACCTTGCTCAGGGTTATAAAGAAAATTACCTGCAAAAGAATCAACAATTTACCGATGACACCTTCCAAATAAGGCGTCAAAATATCAGAAGTACAGCTTTCGCTAAAATTCAATATTGCGGCTGCCGCGTGAGCCTGTACCGAGCAAACTTGTTAATGATAAAAAAGAATATAAAAGAAAAGATTGTTACCTGAACCCGAGGATTTTGGTAGTCATCCATGGCACCAACAAGAGCTGGAAGCACCCGCTGATGATAGAGCTGTTGCAAATCAGGTCCTAAATCTGTGGAGAGCTGTCCGATCGCATTAATAGCAGCCCATCTAACTCGGGGATGTGGATCTTGAAACGAATTCAAAATCATGGACACAACCGGCTCTAAATTTTTTATCATCACCTATAACCAAGCATAAGTCAGTATGTCTTGAAAAGCACCAAAGAAAGGAAAAAGGAAATATATTACCTTGGCACATCCTTCGGCAATCTGTGCAAGGGTGATCAACGCGGCATGCCTCTTCTTCCAGTCCGGATCAGAAATGTAAACGGGCAGGATGTCCGATGCAACCGGCAGGATCGTGTTTCCCCCCAGAGAGATCGCCAACCTGTCCAAGCATTCCTGACCAACTTCAAAATTCGAGCTCTCTCCAACGTCCTCATCTTCCGTGTCCGCGACATGCCACGCCGGAAGGTCCTCCAAATCCAAGAGCATCTTCACCAGTGTCGCGAAAAGCCTGCTGATCATTTGTGGCAACTTCCGCATCATCCCCGGCGCCCTCTCCCTGGCCTCAGCGAGAGTGATCAAAAACTCCACCGCTAAGTGACGAGTACCCTCCTCGAGCGACTCAGCCTCAGCGATCTGCATCATGGTGCTCACCACATCCACAAGCTGGCGTCGCATAAACCTTGGCTCCGACCCGGCAACCTCGATAAACATCTCAAGAGCCTCCTGCGCTGTGGCCTCCTCGTTGTTGTTTAGAGCCAGAGACAGCGTCTGCATCATTCCGGGTAGCAAGTTCTGGAACCTCTCTCGATCCTGGACCGATTCCAGCGTTTGCACGAAGCTGGCGGTCGCGCGGAGTGCCGCAATGCGCACGTCGCTCGAGGTGTTGGACGACAGGCACTGCTGGAAGACCGCGTGCAAAGTCGGCAAGTGTGAGCGGAGGTGAGGTCCCATGTACTGCGCGAGCTGGGCAAACATGAGCAGCGCGCTCTCCTGGAGCCTGGGAACGTCGGAGCTCACGCACTGGAACATGAATGGAAGGAGCTCTGGCCAGCTCCCATCCTCGATCAAACTGGCCGCTAGCTCCGCCACAGTGTCACACAGCTTCTTGAGGGTGCTCTTGGTCTCTTCCCTCTGGACGCACACCAGGAGCTGGGTCTTGAGCGTGGCGTGGGTGTTGGGATTGAGCAGCGACCAGAGCGAGACCTCGTCCTTGGTGATGAGCTTCCGCAAGAGGATAGCGGACATAGCGCGCGTCTCGACATGCCCGGACTGTAGAGTGTGAACGAGCTTGAGCACCAGCGTGTCCGGGTGCTGCGCCTTGCAAGCGTTGAAAAGCTGCTCGGCGTGGCCGCGCTGGTCGTTCGTGGGGCTCATCAGCTGGGCGACGAGCGCCTCGAATGGCGCCATCTCCATCCCCAGCACAGCTGCGACCTCCGCCTCCATCGCCTGGATCGAAAACCCTAGCGATCCAATCCGCCACACAAGACGAGGAAGAATCACGCGCCCGCAATTTACCGTGACAATGCAGCAGCAGGAATGCGAGGATCACCGTGGCGGATCCATCCGCCGCAAGCGCGCATCCACTCCAGGGTTTACCCCTGCCAGAAAACCCTAAAAGAGAGCCATTGTCGCGGCGTTTCGTGCCCTAGCCACAAAGAACCGTACGGAGAATCTAATCCTGCTTACCCTAACCCTAAAAACAGGGGAGGGTGCGCATATTCTCTTTACAAATCTGGGCGGGACAGGTGTATGGTGCCACGTGGAGCGCGCTGCGCACGTGTTACGCTCCCATCGCCATGCATACCTAGAGAAGCTCTTAAAGGCGGCCCATGATGCGCATCCATCGCTCCACGCATCCATCTATCCAGCCATCCATCTCTCCAGCCTCCATTTCTTCTATAAATCCAAACTCGAGTGGTGGACTCTTCTCCATTATAGCATCTCCAAGGGGCGTTGGTTTTTAGTTCCTCGCGGCGGCTCCTCCTCCTCAACAGCTAGAAAACGAGGGTGGTTTTTCCTTGGAGCGAGGACATCTCTCGACCAAGGCTTCTCTTTCGATCGATCAAAGAAGAATCGAATCGAGATGGCGTTTGGACCGGGACGATCGGTTGCGGCATTCCTCCTCTTCCTCAACTTCTGTATGTACATGGTGGTGCTAGGCTTGGCGGGCTGGGCGATGAACAAGGCGATCGACTATAGCCAGGCGAACATCGTCAATCAGACTGGCGCAGTGACAACGCTCACAAGGTTCCCCGTCGGTAAGGCTGCCAAATCTTTCTTTCATTCTTGTCAATCGCTCACCCCCGAGATCTTTCTCTCTCAGGGAACGCGGCGACGCCCTTCTTCCTCCTCTTCATCCTCGGCGCGGGCGTTCTTGGCCTGGCATCGATACTCGCCGGCGCTATTCATGTCAGCTTGTGGCGCAGCGAGAGCCTCGCCGCGGCGATTTCCTCCGCCTTGATTGCCTGGCTCTTCACTCTCCTGGCATTCGGGTAAGAATCGAGCCTTGGTCTTGGGAGATTTCTCGGGGTTTCTTGACGGAATTGATCTCTTTTCCCAGTTTCGCTTGCAAGGAAATCCAGCTCCGCGGTGGATACCGCAACAGGCGCCTGGTAAGGCCTTGAATTCCGTGCTTTCGATTGATGGATTGAGGAATCTTTCTCTTTGGCAGAAAGCACTCGAAGCGTTCTCGATCATCCTGGCAGGAATGCAACTCCTCTACATTTTGTCGCTCCATTCTGGCATGCTGGCGAGGATGGGGCCGAGGATCAAGGAGCCTGGCTATGGCGGCATGGCACAGGGCGTGGAACAGAAGGGCGGCCCTACAACTGGCTCCACGATTTGAAGAAAAAGAAGGAAGAAGAAGAAGCTTTCTTTTCTTAGAAGAAAAGCATGTAGCATTCCTATTCGTTGTATGAAAGAACTCTAGGGCTTTCAAAACGGCTACTTCCATGTTTCGCGGCAAAAAATTTCCACCTTCGTCTCTGGTATATTCTGTCTTTTAGAATTCAAACATTTAGGGTTTCCAAAACGGCTAGTTCGCGGCATTAGGGTTTAGGTTTTAGGGCTCTTAGTCCCCGTGCCTATGGCCGCCGCTCCTCCTCCCGCGGTGCCCACCTCTTTGGAAATCGTGTTGGGATCGCTGGATCGCGGGGCTGCTGCCAGCGCTGGCGAGCAATCGTTCCTGCTCCTGCCGCTGTGGAATGCGAGCCATGGTGGGGCCGAATCACAGGAGATCGGAGATGTGTCGTTGCGCAAGATCGCGGTGTTGTCCGGCGCTTTGGCTTCCAAGGTGAGTAATGAGGAGGCGCTCGTGGCAAGCATTCCGAAAGCCTCCAAGTCTAAAGTTTTAGAGCTGCTCAAACATCATCTTCAGAATCTTAGACATTTTGGCAGCAGTAGCAGTAGCAGCAGTGACGGCGGTCTTCTATTCTCCGGCCTAGTGAACGACCGGGTAGTCCAGGATCAGGAGCTCAGGAATTTGCTCAAGGAAAAGTCCAGGGGAATCAGTCGAAGACTTGTGAGCACTGTTCTACGATGGTCTGTCAGTGTCGGGTTTTGGGATCCAGTTGCGACGCTTTTGGAGTGTGGATTGGTTTCTTCCAACGAGGATCCAGAGATCATCGACAGGATTGTGGAAGATGGCAACGTACCGCTGGTTCTTCTCTGCGTTCTTTCCGTCCGTGACATTCGTCCTTCCCAGTGGTTGGAGATCCTGAAACTCTTTCTCGCCAACAGCAAGAAGTTTGCCAAGTTCTTCCAGCTCCAGCGGCAAGTTTGGCATGAACTCGTCTCCAACCACATCCAGGACGCTGTGAGGCTTCGAGGGGAGATCTCCGCGGATGGAAACCAAACCGAGGAGTTCCTAGCTCGTAAAAGGGAAGAACTGGCGCTCAATGTGGCAGCTTGCGTCAACCTGGCTGTTGCTTTCGACAGATTCACAGCGTCCGAGCTGTGCCTCCACATCTTTCTCAGCGCCGACCACGATGAAGCTGTTCTAACCGCCATAGTCTCGGAAGAGCTGGACACCTCTCAAGTTTCGATACTTCTTCGTTACCTCAACAAGTGGCTGGAGGTTTTCTCCTCGAAGATGATCCACGCTCGGGAGATGGATCAAAGCTTGGTACCGTCGCTGCAAACAATCATCCGCTGGATCTCGACGATTCTAGAGATCCGATACGCGAGTCTGGTGATAGCACGCGACTTGAGCGAAGATCTGGGAGAGACGGCGGGTCTGGTGAGCTCACTACTGGCCGTGGGTGGAAAAATGCGAAGCATGGAGGGTGTGCTCCAGCATTTGATCTCGCGAACAGCGCTTCCCGGCGAGAAGCTGGGAGTTCAAAGCTCGGAGCACATAATCGAGTACCTGGAGATCAGCTAGACAAGTTCTTGCGAGTGAGTTTTCTTTTCTTTCTTTCTTCTTTTCATCAAATTTTGTCTACGAGGATTTCTCGAGTTCTTCCTATAGCTGCGAGGATTTTACCCAGTTCTCTCGAGCTCTCTTCACGGCTGCCCGGGCTTTGATCACTTCGGCCTCGGAAAATTGGAGTTCTTTGATTCCCAGAGGCCCGGGCTTGAGCACATCCATCACTCCTTGGAGCTCGCCTTCGCGTTGTCTGGAAAAATAAAAGATCTTTCATCAATCCATGGAAGAACATCATCGCTACCCAAAACTTATACCTCAATTGCGAGACCACTGCCGCCACGAAATACTCCATTGTCTTTCGCGCTGACATGATAAACCCTAAAACTTCAAGCAAGGGTTTTTATCTTTTACCTTGAAAGTTACCCAAGGTCAAAGAATTTATTTGGCGGAGGTTGGGGTTTTTGTTTTCCAGAGAGGAGAAGCGAGCATTTTGTTTTTGGCGGTGACGATGAAGGCGCGCGACCTAGGTGCCGCCGACAACGCCACCAGAGCGATCGCCAGCGACGGCGCCACGGAAACATCATCAGCAGTGAGGTATGGATCGTGATTTCGCTGCGCCGGCTGCTGCTACTGCTCGGCGGAATCGATTCCATTCATGGCGCTGTCCGTGTGTGAGGAGTACCGCGCGCTCGTCGACAAGGCCTACAACAAGTTCTCGCGGCTGCGAGATTTCCCTCCCTACGGCCAGAACAAGTGGGATTTCTACTTCCGCAAGGCATTCCAGGTGTACACCAAGCTGTGGAAATTCCAGCAGGATAATCGCCAGAAGCTCGTCGAGGCAGGGCTCAAGCGCTGGGAGATTGGCGAGATTGCCTCTCGGATCGGGCAGCTCTACTACATCTACTATCTCCGCACGAGCGATGCTACTTTCGTGAAAGAGTCTTACATCTTCTACGAGGCCATTCTCAGCCGTGAGTATTTCAAGGAACCAGGCAAGGATATAACGCTCGCGAATAAGCAGCTCAGATACTTCGCTCGATTCATTGTCATATGTTTGCTACTTAACAGGTGGGATATGGTGAATCGCCTTGTCAGGCAACTCCATATCCTCGTCGAGGACTACTCGAGCTCTTTCCAGGTATCGATCATGGGGAAAAATACCTGAAAAGTTCCTTATTTTTCTACTTACTTTTCGCTGTTCCTTACAGAATAGTGATGTCAAGGAATGGAAAACCGTCACGCAGGAGATTGTCCGTTTTCTAAAGGCCGATTCCTTGGCTGAGCTGAGCAGGCCTATTCGATACATCTCGGCTCTCGATGGTCAAGTTTCCTCCTTTCCTAGTGTCTCCAAGTTGGAGGGACACAAAGCTCTGAGGCTCAAGAATGCTGTTCTCGTGAGCTATTTCCATAATGAGGTACATGGTTTGACTCCTTTTGCTGCGGCGGAATGGTGGTAACTTTAATGCTTTCTGGTGCCAGGTGAAGTTTAGCGAGCTGACACTGGACAACTTTAGAATGCTTCAATGTTTGGAATGGGAGCCTAGCGGGTCTTTCTATCGCATGAAGTCCGCGACGGATTCAAATGCTGGAGGGTTGCTTGCTCAGGATATAGCTGATCCGACTCTTCCTGCCAACCCTCACAAATACATTCTATATCGTCCCAACATTCACCAGCTGCTTATGGTAAGAAGTGATTTCTTTCGTGCGTGCGTTTCTTGCTTATGGTTTTTCTTGCAGGTTTTAGCTACTGCTTGTGAGGAAGTGCCTCCGGACTCTGCAGTATTGCTGTATCTGTCAGCTGCAGGTACTCGAAATTTTCTTGTGTGACACATCAATTCGTGCTTCGATTGCTTTTCAGGAAGATCCCGTCCTGGTTCCCATGACAGGAGCGGTGTTTCTAATCAATTTTCAAAGGAGGCTTCAAGCACAGACTCATCCCCCGATCGCTCGGACGCTCTTTTAGAAGAGACTCCTGTTTCTGCCGGCAGTCCTAGGCGACGAGTTGATGGATCGACTGGCTTATCGCTTGGACGACGAGGAAGCAACGTCTATCCAGGCGACTTGCTTCCATTTACAAGGAGGCCGCTTTTTATCGTCGTCGACAGTGACGCTAGCAACATATTTGAGGTACCTCGCTTATGCTTTTTGGAAACAACATTACTCTGGTTTGTCACTCTTTGCAGTCCTTGTGCGGTGACGAAAGAGGCGAGCCAGTGGTGTTACTTCTTTCGCCAACCGCAAAGCCATACACGGCAAAGCACCCAGGTACAGGCAGCACCTTCACCTTTTTCCTCACTGCGCCTTTGCAAGCTCTTTGCCAAATGACAAATGTGCGTGTCACTGAGCTCCAGCAGGTATGGAAGATTGAAAATGGTGTCAACATTTTTCCTTCCTTACGTTTTCCCTCTTCTTTTCCAGGGAAGTTACGAGCAGGCCGAAAAGATGGTGTCGAGCACACTACTGGAATTGGGAAACTTGCTGGCTTCTTCCGGTAGCCTCAACGTTGCCTGGGGACGTGTCTTGGGTGATCCATTCCTTCGTCAGCTCCTTTTCCGGTAAGTTTGTCACTTCGAGTTTTCTATCTTAGCTGAGAATCGCCGTCTCGCCTGCTAGATTCGTGTTTGCTCGCGCTTGCTACTCTTTGCACCGACTGTACGTAGGAAAGAGCGAGTATTATCCTCGATGCTTGCCGCCGCTACCAGAGGAGGTATTGCCAAGATCTAGAGTGGTAGAATTGAGCGTTTTACAGGTCGCGAGATTGTTGTGCGTCGCGGACCAATTTTTTTTCTCGGAGAACGGCTCGTAAGAAGAAAAGTTGGATTGACGGAGTAAAATAGATTTAGGGTTTGATCTCCATCGTGCGTCAACCTTTAAACAAGAAGAAGAGTTTGATACCGCAACTAATTTTTTTCTCGTATTATGCCTTGCCCGAGGATGGCGAGGATATCTACCTCGCCGCTTGGAAATCCAAGCTCTATGTAATGATGGTGATTACCAATTGCGGCGAGCGTAAGGTTCAGATCTTGGTGACCAGGCTTGCGAGCGAGTATCTGATTGATTTCCATGTCAATTACGACATCGAGTTCACTGGTCAAGATGGGAACTACCTGAATTTTTGTGGGGAGGATGTCTACTTGCTTCTCTTTTGACATGGATGCCGGGACTTGAGACAAAAACATCGACACCTCTGCAGATACATCTGTCACTTGATTGATATACACTTTTTAATTTTACTTTGCAACTACATTGCTTTGCTTGACTCGACTCAATTCAATATTTGATGTCTCAGGTTGCTCAGGGCTTCTTTCGAGGGGCCTTGAAGCACTATGTGGACGTCTATAGGCTTAAAACCTCGTTGCTTTAGGAGCATTGGTTTGAAGGCATTACGGGAAGCGTATTTCAACAAATGCTATGCAATTCCAGAACGCTAAATTCCGTTTCTTGGAGCTTTAGGAAGTCGTGGATTCTCCAAGGGAATTTAGTCATGGGATCAACATCTATTAAGGACCACACCGAAACATATTTAAACAGCGCATCCAGAGGTAGTACATCTCTTCCATATAGGGCAACAAATAGGCTTGGACTTCGGAGGGCAGCACTCAAAGTCTGAAAGATCGCAGCTAATCCTCTTGGAGCACGGAACTGGGGGTGATGGCGGTGGTCGAGGAGGCGGCGGTGGTACCTTCGATTTGACAGGAAAGTAGACGAAGCCATTCACTCCGCATCGACCCAGTGGGAGGCCATGGTTTCCACGCTGCAGCCTCATGTAGCCTTTCTCTCCCCAGCTTGTCCCCGCCGAGTTTTTGATGATCCAGTAGTCCTGGCCGTTTTCGGATCCATAACCGACGATGAGCACTGCTAGATACGGAGTTGCCTGGTCGTCTTTGCACGGGCCCTTGTAAATCCCCTGCATTTTTAGTTCAAAGGCTTCAGCGAGTTTTCCTTCAAAAACGAATGATTTTTCTCATACCCCTTTGTAGCGAAGGAACTCCGGCGCGTTGCCATCGATTAGAGCTGTCACTGGCTGCTTGGCAACCTGCTTGACGATGTCAGTGTCGTCGCTGGAGCCGTACAAATTGTCGTAATTGTCAATGCCTACGGAGTTGCGGTTCTGGAAGAGCACAACTTTAGTAAAAAACAATGGAAACACAAGAGCACGCACGCACTTACGTGTTTTCGGCAGGTGCCATTGAATCCTGTGAAGCGGTAATCTGATGCGGTGGAGAGGCCATTCCTTGTGTCGTCAAGGTATGCAAATGCGTTCTGGGGAAACCCGCTGTGGCAGCCATCGCTGCCGTAGCTCCGGGAGCAATCCAGCAGCTGCTGCGCCGACAGCTCCACCAACACTCCAGTCGCAATCTTGTTGATTCCCTCGATGGCTTCTGCCGTCGCGAATGCCCAGCTGCCATCTGTAACATGATTTTCCATCCAAACCACAGGCTAAAACATAAATAGAGAGAAAAACCGACTTACTCTGGCATCCTTTACGATCTTTCACAGGTGTGACGGCTCCCAAAGTTCTCCAGTCGATGGATTTGGGAGGGTCAGAGCCAACGTCGCCAAACATTCTGATGCCTGCATCACCATCCAGATTACTATCACTTGTGATAGTACTCCGAAGGGCGGCATTTGCATTTGCAGCAAGCAGGAGGAGGAACGAAATCGAGACCAAGGGATGAGGAGACATTCTTAGAGAGTCGTTGAAGCACGAGAACGAAGGACTATAAAAGCATTTCACGACACCCCACAAGGACCATGCGGTTGAACACTTCGTCCATCGTACAACACTTTTGACAGGCTTTTGCTAGGGCAAAAAAACGTGCAAATGAATGAGGCCTTGCGCTCTTTGCCAACGACTCACCACCAGCAGCCGTAAAACCGTGAGCGGATGGTTGTATGCGGTTGCATATAACCAGGCATTGTCCAGGTGCCATGGCTGAATCGAGGTCTATGCACGTACATGATCAGATATTCCTAGAATATCACCTATGAATAATGGCATGTTCATGACCCCATAGTATGATTCATTTCATGGCCATCATGTGCCAATATGAAAGGTCATGCAAGAAGGATTTAGTCACCCTTTTTATGAATCCAATTCGTGGGTTTTTATGAATCCAATTTTACCCAAATTATCCACCTTTTCATTTGTTAAGCTCACAAAATAGAAGACTAGAAAGAAAATTAATCAAGACAAGTCTGGAGTGATCAAATTATAGACAAATTGTAAGATAACATATAGACGGTTTTGTGTGTTTGGTTAATTGGACACTTGCATACAATCATCTACATACAGGAGGGTTTTACACCCACCAGAATTTTTACAATTTTAATGTTATTCAATACTACATTTTTGTAATAAAAACTTTAGATAATGCCAATAAGTTAGTCAATTTAATAATGCTTTGTTCACACCAGCCATTAAATTATACCTAAAAGTGATTTAGAAACACATCTCTCAGAAATGTTGAGCATGTGATAGAAGAGAGGATTCCACAAACAAGGAATCAAAATTTCCCTTGTGTGAGAGGGAGAGAAGCCATGGATCACGAAGCAAGAACTTCCTTGATCACTGGCACCGCAAAAACAAAGATCTCTATAGAAGAGGAGGGAACACAGTCTTGGATTTTAAGTATTTTCAAAACGCCAGTGGCGCCAACATGTTCAAGGGCCGCCCTGTTCTCAACACTTTGGGCGGCCGATTCAAGCCAGCAGCGGCAGCAGCAGCGGCAGCAAAAGGTGGCAGAAATCACGAAGATCTTGGCTCCAGCCACCCCCATCCGCATCAATCTCCCTTGCCCTCTTCGCACCACCTCCTCTATCTCCCCCCTCCTCGAAAGCGGCAGCGGCAGAGGAGAGGAGTGCCACGGCGGCAATGACGATGATAGGAGGAGCTTCCACGGTGGCAGCGATGGCGTCAAGCGGCACGGCAGAGCTGAGCAATGCTCTGGAATCTGGTGTTGGGCACAAGTGCAAGAGCCCCGACGAGCCTAAGAGACTTCTCTCGTGGGGGCAGCGGCAGAGGCAGCGGAATGGGCGTGTCGTGGAAGTGACCAAGGGAGGAGGAAGAGGCGGCACTTGTGGTGCCGCAGCACCATCACAGCTCTGCCAACAACACTGCCACCAATCACCACCACCACCACCAACACCACCACAAGGAGTCGTCAAAGAAGATGGCAATCCATGCAAATCGGAGGGTTGTGCGTGTGGAGAAGCAGCAGCAGCACAGCCAGCGCTCCAAGTGGTGCCGCAGCATTGCCCTATAGAATATTTATGGAATAATTTAATCTTAATGCTACAAAAGTGTAGCATTAGGATTTTAGTGAAAAATGCAAAAGAAATGCTAATTGTAACATTATCTTACTTTAATGTTTATTTCTGGTGTGAACAAGTTACCATTAAATTTAGCTATTAGATTAGAGTTTCAAAATCTAATATAATAGTGTGGTGGTGTGAATGAATTACCATTAAATTTCCTTCTTGAACATTTGTCCTTCTATTCCTTTGTTCCTCTTTTGAAAAAATAGTGTTAAAAAGTATTGGCTTCATGGAACATGGGTGCTCCAAGTTCAAAATTCTATAATTGAGCATCAAGTGTGTTTGCTATTCTTTGTGTTTATTATTTATGTGTTCCTTTTATTTTAAGGACAAATGTTCTTGATATCCTAGAATATGTTAGAAAGTGCTTACTTTAAAAGATTTAAACAATCATCATCCTTCTATATTTAAAAGAGCAAGTGCAACATATTTAATCTAGAAATTTTTTTCTTGGGTGGTTGAGATGGAAAATAAGTTATAGCAGCAGAAGGTATGTTTTCAACAATAGCATTGTTATTATTACTATTGTAATTCTTGAAATGTAAAAGGAAATATTTTCTTAGTAACACTAGTGCATTTATAACTATAGTGTGATTATTGTTTTTTAGCCAAGTATTTGCAGCTCTTTCTCTTTATTCAATTTTCAACTAAGGAGGTAATTCTCTCCTAAGGATGCCAAGCACTAGAGTCTCTTACTACTAATGAAAAACATTTTATGAGCCATGTTTTGGCCCTTTTTGGTGTCTTGGAGAATATGGTTATATATTTCATGAAAGAAATCTAAATCCTTGAAGTAAGACATTTTTCTTGTATTTGTTAAGCTCCAAAGAAAGTATTCCCCTTCTAAATATGAAAGTCTTCATAAGGATAAAAGGTTTAGGCTTTATATTTATAATCTTTCTTCTTAAGAAACTTTCTACTCTAGTATAAGTATCTATCAAACGTCTTTAGTGGAATTAGGGTGTTATTTAAAAAATGCTGTAAGTTGCCAAACAAGTCAAGACATTTTATGTCGCGAATGTGACTGTGGATATCGAAAATTATTTGTCAATTAGTCCTTTTGGATATTCTTTCCTTACTGCCATGACGGCAAGAAATTGGTATTGCTAAATCTTTTATTAATCTCCACTTAAGCTAGTTGAGAAACTAATCAATGGCCGTGTACTTAAATTGAATAAACATAGGGTAGGAACTCTTATATATTCCTTGCTAAGCATATTCAACCTAGTTTGAGAAACTCTTGTCATTGACTTGCATTTGCTAGTGTTGGGAACCCCTGTGATATTGAATTTGGTCTTTCAATATTTACTAAATGATAGCTTACCATGTTTGTCAAACACCCTTGCTATCATACACCTTGTGTTAGCAGCATTCGGTTTCAATTGTTATTTATAAAAAGTGTGTAGATTTGCTAATTTGGCATATCTATAGAATATAGAGATTGTCCTAAATACAATGGTGTTTATCCCATATCCAAATTCGCAATCTAACACCATTCTATATTTAATAAGTTTCAAATTTGTCGTAAAGACTAACTTCTTATACTAAGGGTGAAAGATTAAAGCATGTGTTCCTAGCGGGAGGGTGGGGGGGAGCTGCAAAGGGTTCCAAATGTATAGTAGGGATAATAGGTTAGGCATAGCTGATCAACTTAAAGCATAGTCTAACTTTAATTTTTGTGTCTATCTTTGTTTTGCGTTTAATTTAGGTTTAAGTCTAAGTTCCACACCATGCTAACTAATGGAGTACCCATATCCTCACAATAGGGCATTAATATGTTGAAATAATGCTACTCCATTTGTCTTTATTTTGTATGTTGGTCTTGGCATTAGGATGTTGGTCACTTTAAGATTGTTTTAAGTCGTTCTGTGCTCTTATCCCTTCACTCTTTAGGCTAAATGTTCAAGAGTCACTTCATGTGCCAATTTCTTCACTCATTGGTTACAAACTTAGAAATTTGGCTCTATTTCTTCATTTAGTGGCCCAAGGCCTTAAAACTTGGGTTTTGTATCATTGTCTTTAGACATATGGTTATTTTTCATGATTAAGTGAATCAATCAAGACTATAATGATTAATTTATTAATTCAAATAGTCATTGCCGCATTCTCTTATAAACTTTTCTTGGATTGGATTAAAGGCAGTGCAAATGCAAATTGGAGGTTTAATCAAAGTTGAGTTTGAAAAGAGAGTCATTATGGACAAAGGATTAAACACGTAAATCATCTTCTCTTCCTCAAGAGATGATTTGCAATGAGGTGTTAATTTATTACTTATGTTCACATCATATAATCAAGAGTCCTTATCTTAATGGATGTTAGTTATGATGGTTTTACAAATGGTGAGTTATGGGATGAATAGTGGTGAAATGCTAAATCATTTTACTTGCTATTAAAGACTACAATACTTAATTCTTTTTTGGGGAACCTTGTTATTACTCTTTGAATAGCTTGGTGTTGGATTAGTATTGAGTTTTAGTCAAAAAGAGAGTGGCATAAACTTGTCTATGTTGTGAATAAAAGTTAATGGTGTTGAGTGTTGTAAATCTCTATTAATGGGGTATGGCATTTATGTTATATTTTGCTGAATCGAGTTGGCACTTGATACTCACATAAGCCTTTATAGTAATGATATAGGTATTGCTCATGTTGTTGTTCAATTGATAATCAAGTCATTGTATATATATCATATATGTTTTATTTCGTTAAAGTGGAACTTATTCAGTAAAGTGGGACATTAATTAGCATGTGTCCACATGCCATTTCCTAGTACTTAATTAATATTTATTAATATTTCTATCAGTTTTTTAATTTATTTTTTATATTTCACAATATTATAACACAAAATCATATGAAAAGTTTTTAATTTATAAATTATAAAGCTAAAACTTCAATTTTTTATTGTTGTTATAAAAATGGCATGTGGCCACACACCATAAGTGGGATAATGAAAAGTTCCACTTTAACGAAATAAAGCATATATATATGTGGTCATAAGTAATGTGTTTATGAAGTTGCTTTATCAAATGATAATCAACCATGAAGTGGAGTTTATTTGTATATAGTAGCATTGAAGTAGCTTTGACTAAGTTCTCAATGATGACCCATTATACTAAGCTTAAATTGATACTTTGTTTTCTTGAAGATTTGCCTGTAAAGTGATAGAAAAAGTTGTTCCATTCATTTGCGATAGCTTATTGGTTGATCTGTTAGCACCTGGAGTAGATTGTCAGATGGAAAAAGTGTGAAATTAAGGCATTGACATTGCTAGCATTTGTGTTAATAGAAGTGACATTATTATTTTGAGTGATAAAGAATTTTCTTTAGACCTTGATTTTTTATGTCATTTTTTTAATTAGTGTTTTAGCTTCATATTAGATTTTGAAGGTGATTGAAGAAGAGTGTTAATGCAATGTGGATATCCAAAGATATGGTCTTCGTGATTGAGTCTTGGGTATTTATTTACATTTTTGCAAATATTGATGTTAGCAGAAATTTGAGCATAATATTCAGTACTTATGCATATAGAATTTATTTTGAAATGAACATTTGTGAAGTTGTTAGTAAGAGGAAGTTAGTTGAAATTTTGTATTTTTAAATTAAGAGTCATTCTTTCTTTAGGATAGAAAATTTTCCACAAATTTTTTTAGACTATTCCAATGGTTAACATGTTAGTCACTTTACCTGTAAACCATTCCATTTTCATAAGTCATTACACATTAGTGAAAGGGTTGGAGTTAACTTTGGTTAACTTAAACTTTAATATATAGTTTGTATGATGTGACCCAAAAGTGATATTGACTTTTGGGGCTAAAGGCAATTGAGTTAAATAGAGTCTAGAGTTGGTGTAAAAAAGTGATTGTTGCACTTTTTTTAAAAAGGTAACTCTTGTACCTTTCTTTTGTAGTATTATGTTTAATAGTAGATTGCACTTTACATTTTTTTTTAGATTTTATGAGAGTAGTGAGCTTTTGCTGATTTTAATTTGGTCTTGGTAGCCTTGCACCTTGGTTGAAGACAGTGATGTCCAACTTAATTGTTTGCAATTGAAATGTATTTAAATTATATGCCCTATAAGGTTATAAAAGTCATAGGTACCAATGAAAAATTCTTATTGTTATATATAATTATCTCTTGCCATAATACTCCCTCTATAATGGTTGTAAATCATTTCTATTTTATTTGCATTGAGGCTTTTATATAATAAAGATGCTCTAGGATCAAATTCCTAAAAGTAAAAATGGGATAAAGTCTATGAAATTGAATAAAAAAAGTTATAAACATTTCCAAGTAAATTCAAGTAGTCCACTCATACCCAATGTATTTATTTATTTATTCTTTTTTATAGTAACACTATTAGCAAGTGAATTTCTATATATCAAAAGTATATATAAATTTCAATGATGTTTTTAAAGAAATACATCTATACTAGGTATATTTAGATCCTTGCTCTCTCTCTCTTCATTTCATTTCATGGAATAAAGTGCTAAAGTAAATAAAGTATAGTTAAGAAGTTTATAAGATTGGATTGAAGAGCATTTTTATTTAATCAAAGTAAGTATTTTTTATTTTTATTTTTTATTTTTTTATCTCATCTTTGATAGGTTTTTAAATTTTTTTAAATATTTTTCTTTATCACTTATAGATTATCTAGATGAAGTGTCAAGAAAATGTCAATAATAATTAACACATATGTACATGTATGTTTTATATAGATTTGAAAGATGGTTTTCATTTGAAACACTTTTTCATCCCATTAAAACATCTTTAAAGACTTTTTTATATTTTAATTAATTCCTTGGTGGTATAATATTTATAACAATAAAGCAATAAAGGGAGGCCCATAGTAGATTTCATGGACATTGTTATTAAATTTTTTTTATAGATGTTATATTTGGTTAATAGCAAATTTGGCACATATAGGAGTGGCCTCCCAACTCTAGCACATTCTATCTTTAAATCCTCCAAGCTTTTTTCTTGGTTTACAATTTTATATACACTTAACTTTATATGACTACCTTTATGCATTTCCATCTCTTCCTACTAAACATTAGTGGATTTTATTCAAACTTGCTTTGTGTTGTTATTAGCAGTTTTGGTGTTGAAGTCCACCAAGCAACATAATGTGTGCATAGTGGACCCCATTGCTGTGGCCTTACTATTATTAAAACCATTCCAATAAGACAATTGACTTGTTTTTTCATTTAAGCAATCATTTTTTATTTCTCAAAGTCACAAGAGTTTTAGATCCTTTTGTATATATGGAGAGAAATCTCAAAATTGTGTCATTAGTCATATTCAATATAATTCAAAAGCATTATAGGCTCTATAATGGCTTTGTCATTTAAAAGTTAATAAATACCTATGAGTTCCATTATACTATAGATCTATGGGAAACTTTAATGTTCTATAGGTATTAGTAAGTTTTGAGATGTATAGGAAGATGTTGTTTTAAAGTAGTATACTAATTTGTTAAGAAGAAGTACTTTGCAACATTATTACTAAAATAAAGATAAATAATATATTTTTTCATGCACATAATCAAATACTAATGCAAGTGGCACTGATTTGAATTTTGCTATATATATACATGTGTGTGTGTGTCTGTGTGTGGTATGCACTAATGCAAGATTATTTTGTGAGTTACACATGTCTGTTTAAACAATTCAATAATAAAACACATATGTGTTTTAAATTGATGTGATTGCAGTATAATTCAATCGTTTGCCACACCACCCACCCCATCCCTATCATTGTGATATATATGTGGAATAGATAGAGATGAACAAATTTGTGAGATATGACACAATGTAGAGTAGACATAGTCAGGTTTGATATAATCAATTTTGGAATATAAAATTTTACTATTCTAGTGCCGGCAAGGAGAGGCCTGCTTGTTGTTTCTTGTAGTGACGCAACCAAAATATTAAAATAGAACTTGGATAGATAAACCAATAGTGAACCCAAAATAATGCATGAGAGAGATCAGCAACAAACAAATTTTACTGTGCTGCTGGCATATACTCTTTGCACTTGTATTTTGTTATCGCAATTCACAACAAACAAAGTCTACTGTGCTACTGGCATATACTCTTTGCACTTGTATTTTATCATCATAATTCACAACAAACAAATTTTACTGTGCTGCTGGCATATACTCTTTGCACTTGTATTTTGTTATCGCAATTCACAACAAACAAAGTCTACTGTGCTACTGGCATATACTCTTTGCACTTGTATTTTATCATCATAATTCACAACCAACAAATTTTACTGTGCTGCTGGCATATACTCTTTGCACATGTATTTTGTCATCGTAATTCCAAGCCATTGTGGAAGCACTAACTTGATACGCAGCTCTCAAACCTCCAGCCCAAGTTTCTTTTGCTCTGTGTCTGTCAGCAATGGCTCAGACCCCAAATCCAGAATCCCCATTGCTCAAGCTTCCCCGCTTCTTCTCTCTCAAAGCCGACAATGGTAAGTACCTCATGCTTAAGTCCGATGGCACCCTTGCATTCGAGTCCGACACCACCACCCGATACACCACACACGAGGCGGTCTACAATGCCAATGATTCCAACGCCTCCTTCGTCATTTGCTCCGCCAACAAGCACTTCTGGCGCCGCCACTCCTCCACCTCTGCTGTGGTAGCCGACCTCAAGAACCCACCCAGCGACACCGATGCCTCAAACCGGTTCAAGCTCCATCCCGAGGTCGCCCCAGGAAAGGTGGCACTCTCCTCCGTCCACGACGGTCTCTTCCTCAAGCGCTTCAACACCCAGTACCACGCGTTGCTCAAGGAGCCCAATGAGATCGTTTCCATGGTAGAAGTGGTGGAGTCGTCCTACTACGTTGTCAACATGCCCGAGTACGTGGGTCTCAAAGGTAACAATGCCAAGTACCTCAGCTGCCTCTCCGAGCCTATGGGCATTGGAGGCTTCCCGGACCAGTTCGCTTTCACAAACGAATCCGCGGATATTCGTGTTACCACCCACCAGGTACACTGCTGGTTTCGTCTTTCATCTGTTTTCACATTCCCAGGGCCCTCGACCAGGTGGCGTATCTCCTGAACGGCAAGATAGCTCTTCGATCCAACCAAGCCGCCTCCTGGACTTCAAACAATTACTGGAAGGCCGATACAGACAAGTGGGTCGCACCTAGAGGTGACACTCCCGACTACGCTGAATGCCAGTTCGATCCAGTCCGAGTGAACAGCACCACACTCGCTCTCAAGGGTTCCAATGGCCTCTACCTTATGCGTGGAAGCCGGTCCTGGGTCACCAATAATCCGGACGTGGTCTTTGCTGGGGCATCCGATTACGAGGAAACGTCCAGCCACCTGGTGGTCGAAGAAGCTGTGAGGAGCAGGCAAATCTTTAACGTGACGTATCTGCTAGATCTGGCGAGTGCGAGCGAGGAGGCGCCAATCGGTGTCGCCTATGGATCTGCCACGAACAGAGGCAGCGAGCCTGCTGAGATGGAGATCAGCGCGAGCAAGACCACCACAGTGAGCAACACCAGGTCCTTCCACAACTCGTTCACCTTCTCCGAGAGCATCACGCAGACTTTGACGCTCGGTGTGCCGTTCTTTGCCAAAGAGAGCACCGAGATCCAGATCGGAGCCGAGCAAGAGTTTGGAAACCAGTGGGACGAGACTTTGTCCGAGGAAGTCACTTATCAGACGACTTACAAAGTGACGATTCCTCCAGGGAAAACGGTACGTAAGAGAATCTGCCTGTGCGCCTTTGCTCGATTGATTGACTGACATCCTCTGCTATCCATCCAGGGAACTGTGCAGGTTGTGATCAGCACTGCGAAACTGGCCATCCCGTTCCACTACAAGACGAGGGACACATCGCTCAATGGCGTGGAGCGTGAGCCTGTGGATCGCATCGACGGTGTCTTTGATGGTGTGTTGGCTTTCAGGACTGATGCGGACATATATGACGGCACCCAGACATATCGCATCCCTGTTCCCATGAAGCTCAACGTTGCGAAATAGAACAAAAATCCAAGGGAGCTGGTATAAGAAATAGAATAAAATGATGTTTGCTAAGATGGTTTTTAAGCAAATAAAGTTTGCCTTTATTGACTTTTCATTGACCAGGTTGACTGTATTTCAACTTAAACAAAACAATTGGTTTTAGGGTTTATAGGGATGGCGTTGTGCGCTTGGTGTCCTACCGCGTGCTTGCGCCTCGCCGTCCACCTCGACTCTCCAGCCTCCTTCCTCCCAATCGCTGCGCGCCATCACCGTCCAGCTCTGGCTGATTGCCGGACCCGCGGCGCTCCAATTCGCTCCAGGGATCGAGAATGCAGGGCCCAGGCAAGCGCGGGCGAGGATGTGAGCAGCGCCGCGCCTAGCAGCAGTCGATTGGAGGAGATTCTAGGTGTGGCGACGAGCTTGTATCCGGTCTACGTCGTCTTTGGTGGATTGCTCGCGCTGGCCAGGCCACAGGCTTATTCGTGGTTTGTGAGCAGGAGCCCCGGCTCTTACAGCTTTGCTCTGGGGGCGATCATGCTGTCCATGGGATTCACGCTCAAGCTCTCGGATCTGGCGGACGTCCTCCGGAGGCGCCCGGCCGCGGTAAAAAAACTTCATCCAAAGTTTCAAAGGTGTTGTTCTTCGTTTCGTGTTGGTTCTTTGGCTTCTTTTTCCCTTCTTTGCTTCTAACTTGGATGGTTTTCTTTCGCGTTTGGTTCTTAGATTGCGTTTGGATTCATGGCACAGTACGTGATTATGCCGGTCATGGGTGCTGCTACTAGCCGGTTCTTAAATCTCTCTCCCATGCTATCAGCTGGGCTCATCTTGATGTCGTGCTGCCCGGGAGGAACCGCATCAAACGTCGTAAGTTTTCTAGTCTTTGATCTCGCGAGAACTTCTCTCAAAATCCATTTTTTTCCAAAGGTGACTTACATCGCTCGAGGAGATGTTCCTCTCTCGATTATCATGACTGCGTGCACGACGATTGGAGCAGTCTTTGCTACACCGCTCTTGACACTGTCCTTTGCCGGAGCTTACATCCCTGTGGACATCAAAGGCCTGGCTCTCAGCACTCTACAAGTGAGACTGGTTGTAAAGTTTCTTTGTTTTCTGTGACGCTCGGCTTTTCCAGGTAGTTCTTGCTCCAGTTCTTCTCGGTGCCTGGCTACAAGGATCTTTTCCACACGGTGTTGCCTTCATTAAGCCTTTTGCGCCCCTCGCAGCTGTATTGATCTCGTCTCTACTTGCTAGCAGGTTTGTCCCTTTGGATTTCTTCTTTCGCTTGTCGAAACCATCGTATTGCAGTGTCTTCTCTGTAAATGTTGGCCTTTTGAGCTTCAATGACGCAGACTCGTCGTCTCTCTTGCTCGTTGCCACAGGCGTTGTTATGGTGCATACTGCTGGCTTCTTGCTGGGGTGAGTTATTCTCCAAAGGTTGCACTGCTTGTTGACAAGTCTGCGCTGTTTTGGATGTAGATACGTTGCGTCCAAGGTTGCTGGGTTCGAAGAGCCACAGAGCCGAGCGATTTCAATCGAAGTTGGGATGCAGAACTCGTCTCTCGGCGTTGTTCTGGCAAACTCGCACTTCGCTTCTCCTCTAGCATGTGTACCACCTGCGGTGTCGGCTGTATTGATGAACATCATGGGCAGCGCACTAGCGGTTGCATGGAGACACTTTGGAGACAAACCAGAGGACAGTCCGAGATAAAAAATCTCTTGTGTAGCCTTGCTAGTCTTCATTTTTTGCAGCAAATCACTGGTCGCTGCAAAGCAGAAAATTTGCTTTATATATGTAAGATATCACTTTGTACCTCTCAAATCTGTTAGTTTATGCATCCTTATACAACCGGCGGATGTGCTCGATATCAGCTGGGATCAGAGTGACTGGGCAGCGCTTATACTGTCCAAAGGAAGAAGCCAGATAGAGCAGAAAGGAAGCAAACACTATTTACCTGGGATATGTACTTGTATATGCAAGGATAACAAAAAACGTATCCAGATACAGCGGCCATGGCGGGATTTGTTCGCCTTTGCAGGCAAAGTGGACAAGTTCTAACACTTTCCGGTAGAGGGATGCCGTTTGGTGCCACCTACAAAGCGCATTCAAGACAAAAAAGAAGCTCTGAAACAGTTACCTTTGGTGGCGGTGGTGGTGGAGGCGGGGGATATATCGTAGGGGCCATGACTCGTTCCTCGGCAGATTGATACCACCATTCCATCATCTGAGGCTCGTGTTAGGAGTTGTATGGAACTGCAGTGAAAGAAGAGTGCGTACCTTGAAGAGAAATACTCCGGCAATAAGGCCTGTTTGAGCATAGTCCAGAAAAGTGTAAAGTGACTTCAAGAGGCCTCTTTGAACAGCCTATAGAGTCAAGTGATAAATCAGTCACTAAAAAGAAACACAACGGCATGAAGAGAAAGTGCTCTTCACCTTCAAAGAAGCCGGGCCTCGAATCCGTTCATAGTCGTGATTTCTTCTTTCCTGGATATGTTTAGTTCCATCTAGCTTTACACAACAAGGTAAAACGACAAAGGTAAAACGACATCGTGATTACCAGCTCCTGTCCGGATGCACGGCGGACATAGACTCCGGTCAAGTACAAGGCTGGAGAATAGAACCGCGTTGCCTCGAGTAAATACAGCAATTGATATGCGAACGATAGTCCTGGAACGAGCATAAAGACTAGTAAGATAAGTTACATTCAAAACATACCTTCGTGAGTGGCGTGAATCCAAGGAAAGGAGTACGTGAGAACAGCAACCAGATTAAGTTTCCAGCGTTGGAAAATGCTTCTATTGTTATGTGGAACAACTTCTTCCACTGGAGCACTGCTACTTCCCCATAACGCCGTTTGCAAAGCGCTGCCTCTTTGAGCCGTGTATGCTCCTTGCAACTTTGCCTTGATGTAAGGCAATCCAACCTTTACCATGTTGATAAAACAAAGTACGTGTGAATTCGGGAGTTTTGCAGACGAAAGAACTTACCAGGAAAAATATCGAGAGGCTTTTTTGAGCTCTAGTCAGACCGGCTCTAGAAGGAAGCGACGATTTTTTCTGTGTCACATCGGTTACAATCTCCACTGGCTGTCTCCGTAAGCCATAAAGAGCTTCCGCGAAAGAAGCATCTGCCGCAAGGAAGAACCAAAAAAAAAAAAAAGAATCATAGCGTCATGTCATGAATGTAAGCTAGCCATCACACAATACCCGCTGTCCGGACGTTGTGCGCCTCGAGAATTAGCATTAGAAATGCGAAGAACTCGTCGCTATAATCCAAAACCCTGTGCACAATGGGCCTTCTCTGTGCAATCACCTGAAAAATCGGCGAAGTTGTGAGATTTTCCTGCCCAGACGATGAAGAAAATCACGATTACCCCCAATGAATACATTAGCGCCGCCCTCAAGCTCTCCGGGAGCTGCTGCGCAGCCACCATCTCAAAGAATGTCGGCCGATCGCCCTCGCCCCCGACTTGCATCAACATCACTGCCCAAGCGCAAGAACCCTAACACCTCTCCCCAAATTATTTGAATACTCAGAGGTCAACCCTTCCAACGGCCGGATGTCTTCCACGTGGCAGTAGTAGTAGCTATCCAGATTACGTCAACTGGGTCAGCAGATAAACGGCTAGGATTGGCCCCCCAAGAGCGTTAGGGCTCTACATACATTTCTTCTCAGGCCTGTAGATCTTTGCTCTCATTGGCGCTGCGAGTCGATTTCCGGTAAGACCCGAGCTGCTGTGGCAGATTCCACGGATTGGGAGCTGGATCCTTGTCGCGGAGGCCAGAGTGGAGGGAAATCCGCGAGCTGGAATGGTCAAGGCTAGGGTTTAGGCAGAATGCGGTGGTGGCAACGCATCACAGCCGAGCAGCACCCTTCTCTGTTCGATCACCGGCAGCAGCAGCAGCAGCAGCAGAGCCAAATGCAGCCCGATGGATTTGGAAGGGATGCGACCAGTCTGCGCAGCGTCTCTGCTGCCGCAAAGGCCTTTCTCTTGAACAAGCGGCGCTTGCGCCTCGACCCTGACAAGAAGCTCGTTTTTGAGTGTAAGTTCTTTCACTCTCTCTCTCCTTTGCTTGTAAAATCGATCTCTCACAGTTTAAAAATTTAGATGAACCGGGAAAGCAAGTCTCCAGCGCTGTGAAGATCAAGAATGTGAGCCGCTCCAATGTGGCATTCAAGGTGAGCATCTCGTTCTTCGTTTCGCATCGTCTTCTACTCTGATTTTCTCCTTGTGAAGTTCCAAACCACGGCACCAAAGAGCTGCTTCATGCGTCCTCCAAATGGAATCATCAAGCCGAACGAGACCATCTACGCAACTGGTATGAAGTTCGTCCGGTTCTTCGTGTTTTTGACTCTTTCCCATCCCGTGGCAGTCGTCAAGTTCGTGGAGCAGCCAGAGCGTCCACAGCAGAAGAGAGCGAAGGAGAAATTTAAGATTGTCAGCCTGAAAGTTAAGGACGGGGTCGAGTACACGCCAGAGCTGGTACGTCATAAGCTTGCAAAGTATGAGATCTAAGAGCCCTTCTCTTTCTCTCGCTCTCACTTCGCAAAACAGTTTGAAGAGCAGCGCGAACTAGTCACCGTTGAGAGAATACTGCAAGTGGTCTTTGTAGACCCGCAACACACTTCTCCGGTAAGATCATTCGCATTTTCCTTGCATCCAACTCACGAGTGATTCAATCGATGCAGGCGGAGCTGGAGAGGCTCCGGAAGCGTCTAGCGGAGGCCGAGGCAGCGCAGGAAGCCCGCAAGAAACCTTGTGAGGAGAAAAACCCCAAAGGAGCGGTCGTGGAGGGGCTTGTCATTGACGAATGGGTACCAAATCTTTTTCCAATTCTCTCGTCACTCACAAGCTTTGTCAATGATTTGCAGAAAGAGCGTCGAGAAAAGTATTTGGCGAGGCAGCAAGTTGAGGGAGCTGACTCTTACTAATAAGAAAAAGTAGGCTTTGAAGCTTTCGTGTTCGTTCACACAAAAGGGTTGTATGTGAAATATTATATATAGCATTTGACCATGGTAAAGTTCTTCCTTTCTTTCTGGGTTTAGGGTTCTTGGGGAGAAGGAGCGATGGAGAGAGCGGGTATGGAGGTAGCCGGCATGGCGGAGGAGGATCAGCAGCGAATTGCGGGCATGATCGATGCGCTGCAAGCCCGCGACAGGTAAATGTCTCTGCGTTGGATGGGATTTTGGGATGGATTTGGGCATTTTTGCGCAGCTTGAGGATGTATAACGCGCTGGTGGAGCGATGCTTTGGGCACTGCGTGGATTCCTTCCGGCGCAAGACGCTGGAGAAGCAGGAGGAGACGTGCGTGAAGCGCTGCGCGGAGAAATTTCTAAAGCACGCTATGCGGGTGAGCATGAGATTCCAGGAGCTCAACTATGACAAGGTTACACCGGACTAGCGAAGGGAGAATCTACTGGAATATTTATTTAGCTCTTGAAACGTTTTAATAATTCTAGCCTAAATCCTAGCCGTTCAATCTCAAGTTTAATTGTTGTGATGAGACAAGCCTAGGTTTGTTTTTTAGGGTTCTTGGAGGATCAAGAATGGGCGGGCAGGCGCTTGCCTGTGAGCATGGAACGCATTTCTCTCCTCGGGGAGTGATCGGCATCGTTCCATCTCGCCATGGCGTGAGAATTCCGCTTCGGCGTCATTGGAGCGGCAGGAGAGGTGTTTTTGCGATGCAATCATCTCCGCGCATGCCATCGCTTGGTGCGGTGGTTTCGACTGCTTCCCGGGCCCTGGCGGCGGTGCTGTGCTGCGCGGCGATCACTGTGGCTGCTCTACCGGCGATGCTTTCTTGGCAGAAAGGATTGAATGCCACTGTCTGGGTCGCGAATCATACCATTCCAGGTGAGTGAAATGATTAAAGTATAATTTCTTAGCAAGATCTCTTCCAGGGAAACTTCGAGTTCGCAAGGCCACCCTTGGCTGGACGAAGCCTGTGGATTTGGAAGGAATTTGTCTCGAGGATGGTGATGGAGAGCGTGTTCTTGACATCCAAAACATCACGACTAAGGCGTCGCTTTTCTCGATCGTAACCGGAAGGAGTGGTTTCGGTAAGAATGGAAAAGAGATATAACTTCCTAGTTTACTCTTTTTCCTTCTTTGTTTCCAGATTTCATGAGAGAAAATCAAAACGTGGTTTCACAGGGGATTGCACGGTTTCTTCGCTATGGATGAACTTGCTCGAGGATCCAGAGACCGGAATCTCTCGTCTTGCTCGTGCGGTGGAATCCTCGACTCGAAAAGCACATCAGCAACCGAAGAAGAAAAATGCCGTTGTTTCGACCGGAGTCGTGAAACTGGCATCGGACTTCAAGGCTGTTAATGGAGGATTGACGATTCGTGGCGGAGAGCTGCTTCTTCCAGCTGACGCAGCGGCTGCTCTTGGAGAGAAAATATTTGTCGACGTTCTGGTTGGCAGTCCTGCGAAAGAAAGATCCGAGGCTCTTAAGTCGGGTGGTGGTCTTCGTTCTTTGCCGGTGCAAATCAATGCCTGGTCGGATTGTCTTGAAGCACAGGTGCTTGGATTTCTCAATGCCTCGAATCAGAAGATCGAGCTCATCGAGCCTATAAAAATCGAGGTACTGTTTTCTCTTTTGTTAATGATTGAGAAACTTATATATCTTTTCGTTTGTCTCAGATGGATCTCACTCCTGAGCTCGGTCGCCTCTACCTTGCTCGAGTGAATCCTTTGCTAGGCTATATAGTCGGTCCTGCTGTGGCCGAAAATGACATGCCTGACGTGATCATGGAAGTCATTCCAAAAGAAATGAAGTTTCCTGCCGATGAATACAAGCTACGCTTCGAACCAATGAGTGTGGTAAGCTGTTCAAAGTTGTACTTTCTTGTTCCTTCCCGAAAGTGCCAACTGTTTTAATGTCATCCTCTATAGGTATTGGCAAGAGGACCTATTCTCGATGGGATCTTCACGCTGCTTTCGCGAAGCAAAAACAAAGACGAAGTCTCGGGTGGAAGACGCCAGCTCAAGATGGAAACAAGTGCTATCGAGGCCGTAGCCAATGTGGATGGTCATTTAAAGTGCCGACGCATTGATCTTCTCATTGCGGGTATGGTCTTGGATTCACTACTTGTTCTTCTTATTTCATCTCTAAACAGGCAAAGTTCATGTTGCTACCTGGGGCGAGTTCAACTGGATCGAAGAGAAAATGAACACAAAACTAGTGATTCCACAGACAATCCTGAAAGACTTTCTAGGATTGAACAACCTTCCGAAAAACTTCCATTTCCAGGTGATTAACCATCTCTCTCTCTTTACAGTTTTTTTCAGCTATATGTTTCCGTGTAGGTTCCCGTCCGAGGAACTTTCGATCGACCACAGATCGATCTCGGGGCTGCTGTCTTTCGAATCGCGCAGCTAACTCTCCACCAACAAGCTGGCCCTTTCGCGAAAAGCTTGGTCGGAAGCTTTGACGATTCCACACCGGACCATGATGTTCCAGAACCCATCGATGTTCTTCCCTGGCAAGCTCACAAGTCAGGCGCGTGAACAAGACCTTTTCCAAAGGTAAAAGTTACTCTTCTTTCCTCGTGGGTTTTCTCAAGTACTTGTAACTTTGACATCACGGTTATTTTTCAGAGTAACAGCAAACTACACTGTAATAACGGGTACGTATGGCATCATCTTTTGAAGTGGTATCATGGTCAACGTCCGGAATATCGTATTTTTCCCGTAACCTCCAAAACACCACTTTCAGCATGGGGCCTACGTTCGTACACCTGGGCCACAACTCAAATGGGCCACTTCAATTCTCGTAAATCACTTGCTTTGATTTTTTTTTCTCTGTGAGTCACGCGACAAACTATCAATATGCAATCAAGGGAGTCGAGAAATTTGATCCAATTGGATCGAATTCGATCATCGCATAGGTGTAAAGGATTAAGGCGAAAAGAGGCAACGCACTCTCGCAAAGAGCTGCGTAAAGAGAGGCCAATTGTCCGAAAAGATCAAAAAGATAGGTGGAATCGTTACACTATGATGTTAAGAGAACCTTGATCATTGTGTCATGCTAGGTACTGTCGTACGCTTGAGCCACTACTGGTTTGAGCCACGTGGTACGAAACGCCGGTCAACTCGCCGGCTTGGAAATGGCGGGACATTCCGTCATTGCCGGCGGGGAGAGTAACGGCGCTGGCTCACGCCGTCTGCCACGTGGGATATAGAAGCTTCACTTCGCCGCCCGCGATATGTGTGTCCCGTTGCCAACGTTCCATGGTTTTTATTTTTGCCGCCTCTAGGGTTCTTGCGCGAAATATTTCGCTCTCTCTGACCGATAGGATCGATCGGAAGCTGGAAGGTCAAATTGGCGGCGAGGATTCGAAGGGATGCGCTAGCGAGCGTTTCTAGGTGGCCTACTCTACTCGCGCCTCTCAAATCAGTTAGTTTTCTCTCCTCTGCTCTCTATCTGTGATGTGGAGCGTCTCTTTCGTGCTGACAGGATCGTTGCGCTTCTTTCCCCCTTGCAGATCGCTCTCGGAAACGTTTGGTGCTGGAATTCGTTCTTGACGGCATACATTGGGCATGAACCGTGAGAAAATTCGTCCGAGAGTAAGCCTTGGATGAGACGCTTTTTGCTTCCAGGCCTTACATCTTGTCCAGGAATTCGCGAGACAATGTGTTCTGGGAGGCTTGTCTTCTAAGCAAGCAATCCTTGTGATAGACGCTGGCATTTATGTGAGCGGGGTGTCGCGTTTGATTTCGTGAGGTAGGAGCGGTGTTAGTGCAATCCAGTCTAGATCTCTTGGTGGTGGTGCATTTATGAGGCAGCGAGCTAGAGAGGATCATAGGTAGACCAATTTTTTGTGATTTTGCGGGAGTTTTCTTTGTAAAGAGGGGAGCTGTTTTTCTTTCTTTGTTTCCTTTTTTGGATGCTTTAGATTGAGTGAAAGCTGCTCCAGGTTCAGTCCCGGGATCCAGATTAAACTAATGCTGCCGGGGACGGCAGCCAGACTGGATCACTGTGTCTCTTGCAAAATTGGGCTTTTTGTTGCTGCATGCTCTTGCGAGATGGTCGATTTCTGTGACGTTTTTTTTCTTCTCGAGATCGAGGGACAGTCATAGAAGTTGAGCGAGGGACAGTCGTAGAAGGTTCTTTGATTGGAGTGACAGCGATGGTAGGAGATAAAATTCACATTGACGAGCTTTATTGATCAAGGGAGGTGTGCGCCGAGACCTTAGCTCCCGGAAGATGGGAAAGAAGGTGGTGGTGGAGATTTTGAGCGCGCACAATCTCATGCCCAAGGACGGGCACGGCTCCGCCAATGCGTACTGCATTGTGGAGTTCGACGGGCAGCGGCAGGCAACCAAGGTGAAGACCAAGGATTTGAATCCGGTGTGGAACGAGAAGCTCGAGTTTCAAGTCCGGGATGCGCAAACCATGGCTCAGGACGCTGTCCGGATTGAGGTGCTCACGGCGCATCCAAAGGAGAAGAACAACAGGAAGAAGGATGGATTTCTGGGAAGAGTCCGGATTGAGGGAATTAGCATCAAGAAACAGGGGGACGAGGCGATTGTGAGCTATTTGCTGCAGAAGAGAAGCCCCTTCTCGCACATCAAGGGGGAGCTCCGGGTTAAGGTGTACTGGGTGGACGAGGCCAAGAAGGAGGAGGCGAAGAAGGGAGAGGAGAAGAAAGATGGCGACAAGAAAGATGGAGAGAAGAAGGAAGGAGAGAAGAAAAATGGCGAGAAGAAGGACGAGAAGAAAGTTGAGAGGCCGCCACCCCCGACTGTGGTTCCAGCGGCCGATTACGTCCTGAAGGAGCGAGCTCCGGTGGTGACAGAGAAGGTGAGGACGTATGATCTGGTGGAGAAAATGCTGTATCTCTACGTCCGCGTCGTCAAAGGGAGGAACATCAGCAAGGAAGAGCCGTATGTGGTGATCAAGTTTGGAGAAGCCGTGGTCGCGAAGAAAAAGGCAACAAAGAAGGACAAAGTTGCTGTGTGGGAGGAAGTCTTTGCGTTCAGCAAAGACAAGATCCAGGGGCCGACAGTGGAGATTGTCGTTGCCGAGGACGAGAAGGGAAGCAAAGATTTTGGGAGTGTCGTGCTCGAGATCAGCGACATTCCATTCCGTGTTCCGGACAGTCCTCTCGCTCCTCAGTGGCACTCGCTGGAAGATCGGAAAACCCGCGTGAAGAAGGATGAAGGCGAGGTGATGCTGGCAGTCTGGTCTGGGACACAGGAGGACGAGAGTTTTCCAATCGCCTGGCAGTCGGACACAGGTGGTCACGCGCACACAAAGGCCAAAGTGTATTTATCTCCCAAGCTCTGGTACCTGATGGTGAACGTGATCGAGGCACAGGACCTGGCCGTCTCGGACAAGTCGCGCTTTCCAAACGTTTGCGCACGAGTGACTCTCGGGCCATACCAGAAGTGGACGACCACGTTCCCGAAAACTCCCAGCGCCAGTCCGATGTGGAACGAGAGCAAGATGTTCGTAGCCGCGGAGCCTTTCGAGGAGCACCTGATGGTGTTCGTGGAGGACAAAGTTTCCGCGGACAAGGCTGAGGTTCTCGGCAGCGTCAAGATCTCTCTCGCCGGCAACAAGCAGATCGCAAGGAGGAGCGATCCAAAGGAACCGGTGGCGTCCTTCTGGTACAACTTGGACAAGAACGGAGACAAGGGATTCAAAGGCCGCGTCCACCTGAGGCTGAGCTTCGAAGGCGGCTACCACGTCATGGACGAGTCGACGAGCTACATCAGCGACATGAGACCCACGGCTAAGCACCTGTGGAAGAAGAGCCTGGGGATCCTCCAAGTCGGGATTCTCCAAGCGAAGGCTCTCCTGCCGATGAAGAACAAGGACGGGCGCGGCACCACCGACGCCTACTGCGTCGCAAAGTATGGGCCGAAGTGGATCCGGACGAGAACCGTGGTGGACAGCCTCAACCCGAAGTGGAACGAGCAGTACACCTGGGAAGTCTACGACCCATGCACAGTCGTCACCATTTGTGTCTTCGACAATTGTCACCTTAGCGACAACAGCAGCAACGCGCAGCCCGACGGCCTCATCGGCAAGATCCGGATCCGCCTGTCCACGCTCGAGAGCAACAAGGTGTACGCCAACTCGTATCCGCTCATCGCCCTCCAGCCCAGCGGCGTCAAGAAGATGGGCGAACTCGAGATCACGGTCCGGTTGGCGACCACGACGCTCATCCACGTCCTCCAGGCCTACGTCCAGCCCCCGCTGCCGAAGCTCCACTACACGCGTCCACTGCCGGTGGCCGAGCAGGAGATGCTACGCATCGAGGCCATCCGGATCGTGGCCGGGAGGCTGGGACGAGCGGAGCCACCGCTCCGGCAGGAGGTGATCCGCTACATGCTCGACACCGAGTCCAACATGTTTAGCATGCGGAGGAGCCGAGCGAACTACGCGCGGCTGACGAACGTCCTCTCGGGCCTGGTGGTGGTGTCGAACTGGTTCCACGAGATCTGCAAGTGGTCGTCGCCGGTGACAACGCTGCTGGTTCACGTCCTCTTCCTCATCCTCGCCTGGTTCCCGGAGCTCATCCTTCCGACGCTCTTCCTCTACCTCTTCCTCATCGGGGTGGCGCACTACCGGCACAGGCCGCGAGCGCCGCCGTCCATGGACGCGCAGCTCTCGCACGCCACGGATGGGTTATCCCCGGACGAGCTGGACGAGGAATTCGACACCATTTTCACGAAGAAGCACCCAGATCTCGTCAAGGCGAGGTATGAGAGGCTCAGGCTGGCGGCGAGCCGGCTCCAGACGGTGGTGGGCGACATCGCTGCGCAGGGGGAGAGGGTCCATGCACTGCTCAGCTGGAGGGATCCTCGGGCGACGGGGATCTTCATCACGTTTTGCTTCATGCTGGCCATCGTCTTGTACGTGGTGCCGTTCAAGGTGATCGCCATCCTGGTGGGACTGTATGCGATGAGGCATCCCAGGTTCCGGGACAAGTCGCCCAGCGTGCCCATGAATTTCTTCCGCAGGTTGCCATCGCTGGCCGATCGGATTCTGTGAAAGAAGGAACCAAGTTTTTGCTTTTTACTTTAAACCCTTAGAATAGAACTTAAGAAAAGGTGAAAAGTTGTTTCTTTTTGCGTCAGCCGAGAGTCGAACTCGGTCTATTGCTTGGAAGGCAGTTATCCTTACCGTTGGACTACTGACGCATTTTTATGAGTAACTAAGACGGGTTAATCTTAGTTAACTTTGGCTTCCTTTAAAGCTTGCAGGTAACCGCTGCACTACTGACGTATTTTTATGAGGTTAATCTTAGTTAACTTTGGCTTACTTTAAATTCTTTAAAAGCTTGCGTCAGCCGAGAGTCGAACTCGGGTCAATTTCTTGGAAGGCAATTATCCCAACCGTTGGACTACTGACGCATTTTTATGAGTAACTAAAACGGGTTAGTCTTTGGCTTACTTTAAATTCTTTAAACAGCCGAGAGTCGAACTCTTGGAAGGCAATTGACGCATTTTATAACCTTCAAACATGTCAGCCGAGAGTCGAACTCGGGTCCATTGCTGGAAGGCAATTATCCTAACTGTTGGACTACTGACGCATTTTCGTTCTAACTTAAAATGGTTAATCTAGTTAGTTAATCGCATTCTTAGGGTTCTTTATCTGCTGTTAGGGTTTTGGTCGAGCGCCTCCTTTTTCTTTGCGGCGCGCTTCCTCTTCGTGCCTGTGACAATGGCGCTCGCACATCGTTCTCGCAAAGCTTCTAATGCCGCGATGCTTTGGTCTGTGGGTCGTCAGGCTTCGCTCTTTGCTATAGCTGCCGGATTTGATAGATAGATTTCTCTTTCTTTTTGAGGCTGATGAAACCGCACTGGGCTCCGATTGTTATGAGCGATTTGCTGGGCCTAGAAAACCCAATTTCTGACTCTTCTCGTCTAGTCTCGTCACGTTTGGGGAATTGCAGTGCTCTGATTACTCTTCCTGTACCATCAAATTCAGAGGCATTCTTCGTGCTAGTGCCTGAAAATCTTTTAGGGAAATGAGCACTTGTTTGTCTGGAGTTCTTTCTTTTCCTTTCCTTGTGGCGATGATTACAAACTATCCGCGCTTCTGAGATCAAACGCTGAAGCACAAAAAGATAATGGTTGAATTTCTTGACATGAGCCACTCAAAAGTAACCAAAAATGTCTCTAGATTCCGCGCGAGAAGTCTAAAATCTTGTTACAAACCAAAAGCTCTTCCAAAGTCGGCCAATTCCATGATAGTCAACGGCTGCAGAGTCAACGGATAGCTCAATGGTCAATAAAATTCCCCATAACAGTCAACGGTTGTGTGGTCAGTCAAACCTTGTCATAGAACGTCAACGGGACGGTCAACGGTCTCGGTGGCCAGGAGGTTTGCCAGGAGCACGTACCTGGATGGGCTGTGCTGCTCCATCTCCAGCACCAGACCCCCCACACTCTCCCCTCGCCTCACATCACTCTGCGTCCAGCACGCCCCCAGCAGCGTCCCCAGCGCCACATCGTCGGGCACGAATGGCATCGCCGCCAGCACCTCCTCCGACTCCTCCAGCATCCCGGCGCGCCCGAGAACATCCACCGCGCAGCTGTAGTGCTCCCGAATCGCCGCCACCCCAAACTCCGCCAGCAGCGCCCAGTTCCGCCACACCTCCGCCACCGCCCCCGCCGCCGCGCATCCCCCCAGCACCACCGTGAACGTGTTCGCGTCCGGCTGGATCCCCTCGAGCTTCATCGCGTCGAAGAGCGCCATGGCCGATTCGAGCTGGCTCGACTGCGCGTAGGCCGCGATCATCGTGTTCCAGGCGGCGGCGTTCCTCTCCGCCATGGCGTCGAACGCCGCCTTGGCCTCGCCCACGCGCGTGTTCTTGGCCAGCGCCCCCACGATGGAGCTCCACGACACGACGCTCCACTGGGGCATCCGATCGAAGGCGACCTTGGCGTCGCGGAGGCACGAATTCCTCGCGTAGGCCGCGATCATCGCGTTCCAGGTGACGACCGTGCGCTGCGGCATCGAATCGAAGAGCGCCTCGGCCTCGCCAAGATGCCCGGTTTGGGCATACGCTACGATCATCGTTGTCGCGGAGACTACGTTGTGCTCGGGGGAGGAGTCAAAGATCTCCTTGATCGATCGCGGATCGCTGCCAAGGAGGCCGTGACAGAGGGAATGAAGCACGCGAGGTGCCACTGGGGCATCCGATCGAAGGTCTCGCGCGCTCGATCCAAGAAGCCCAATCGCGCGAACGCGTTGAGCATCACGTTCCAGGTGATGGAATCCCTCTCCGGAAGCTGCGAGAACATCGCCATCGCGGATTCCAGATCGCCCATCGACCGCGAGTGGAGCGCTGCGTTGAGTGACACGATGTTCCACTGCGGCATTCGATCCAGGAGCTCCAGCGCTGCTGTGGGCTGCGAGGATTTCGAGCAGCGGACGACGATCACTGTCCATGTCCCGGGCTCTCTCACGGGGATCCGATCGAAGAGGTGTTTGATCTCTTCCAGCGGGCGGTGATCGGCGCGAGCCAAGAAAGTCGCGGTCCAGGAGACGCGATTGTGCTGCGGCATTCGATCGAATGCCTGGATCGTGGCATCGGTGTCGGAATTCACGGCGAATGCCTCGGCGATCGCGTTCCAGGAGACGATGCTCCTCTCCGGGGTGGCATCGAAAGCGTTCTTGGCTCGTCTCGGATCCCTAGCCTCGGCATAGGCAGTCACGATCGTGTTCCAAGAGATCACATTCCTCTCGGGGATCTTCGTGAAGACGAGCTCCATTGCGTCGATCGCGAGGCTGCCCGCGTACGCTGCAAGGATCGTGTTCCAGGAGAAGATGCTGCGATCGCGCATCCAGGAGAAGAATTGCGAGAGATCCTCCAGAAGGGCGTTCTTGGCATAGGCAGCAAGCATCGCGTTCGTGGGGACTGGATGCTTGGGCTCCGGCATTCGATCAAACATCGCCCTCGCGGCGATCGGGTCGCCATTCCTGGAGAAGGCCGTGATGATCGCGGTCCAGAGGAAGGCATCCGGCGGCTCGGTGCTAGCGGCGGCAAATCCCTCAAACACCGCCCGGGCATCGGCCGCGCTCCCCACGCTGCCATACATCTGGATGAGCTGATCGACGACGCGCTTGTCGGACCCCAGCCCCGCTCTCACGATCCCAGCGTGGATTCGCCGCGCGTCGGCTAGATCTCTCGCGCTGGAGCAAAGCCTCATGCCCACGCATTTTTAGGGTTCTTCTATACCAGAAGAAAAAGAATTAGAGAGAATATACCAAAAGAAAGGAAAAGATACCAGAATCTAGGGCTCTTTACTTTTTTGCCCACGTGAAAAGCGCTGAATATGGACCGACGGATTTCGTAGGTTAAACAGTGTATCAGATCACAAGAGGTTTTTATTTCGTATTTTCTTCGCTCCCTTGTTCGTCGTCTTGTTCTTCGATGGCGCACGCAGTCAAGGAGCGTGCATCGTGACGTCGTGCGCGAGAAAGATCCATTCCTCGTGTATCAGAGGAGCCGCCGCGAGGTAAATGCGCTCTCGATCGATCGCCCCTTTTTATTCAGTCCGATTCGATCAATTTCGCAATCTCTCCACCAGACCTGGTCTCGGCGTGGATTCTTGCAGCGATTTTTAAAAGAGAGGAGCTGGGAATCCGGCGAATCGGCACTGTTTCTAGCTGGATTATGACCATCTTGTTCGTGGCTGTGGCAGATTAAAGGCGGGCAACGACGTGCTGCGCAATGGCGCTGGCCGTGTCGAGCGAAATTCGCATTGCCGCCCTGTCGCCATTCCCATCGCCGCCGCCGCCGCTGACCTCGACTTCTCCGTCTTCTTGCTCGTTTCTACAAGCCAGCTATGGTGCCAGCAAGGGGAAATCGTCCATAGCTAGCATTCCGGGAAAGAAGACTTTGAGAACTATGATGAAGGTAGGGGGCTACGCGATTTTGCCAGAGGAAGAAAGTCCGTGTACTTTGCGAGAAAGGATGGGGCGTGGGCTGGATGTAAGTTGTAGAGCTCAGAGCACCGCTCCAGCCATGGAGACTGAGCAAGAAGGCTGGGAAAAGCGTCAGGTATGTGATATGTTCTTGCGATTTCTCCAAGGTTCTAAAGCTTGTGCTCAAGCTGTCTAGAACGAAGCAGATAATGGAGGATCGACGTCATCCTGGCACTGGACTCTAAACTGGAACGAGATCACTTCAAGCATTGTTGTTGGCTCTTGTCCACGAAGTCCCGACGATGTGGTATGTGATGTTTTTGTTTTACTTTTGGATGGCAGGCTAATTTGTATGGTGCCTGCCAGGATAGAATTGCCGAGGGATGTGGGGTCAATGCGATTTTAAGCGTGCAGTCGGATGTTTGTTTGGATGCTCTCAAGGTAATAGAGTTTGAGGATTGATGGTCTCAGAACTCTGATCGAGATTTGTATTTTGCGAGTCAGATACCATTTGAGAGCATAAAACGAAGAGCGTCAGAAAGAGGCGTCTACTTGGAGCGAGTCCCTATCCATGACTTCGACCACGGTGATCAGGTTTGTTTTTGTAGCTCTCCAGTTCATTTTTGTAGCTGGCCTAACTCATTGGTCTCAATCAGGCACTGATGTTGCCAGAAGCGGTGAGGATGTTAAACATGCTTGTCGCGCGAGGATTGAAGGTTTACGTCCATTGCACTGCCGGTATCAATCGTGCTACGTTAACGGTCGTAGGATATCTTACATTTATACAGGCAAGAGCTTCGAAGTGTTTTTATCAGAGTTTAACTTCGATTTCTTTTTCTCAGGGAATGGACCTCGATGACGCTGTTAATGTTATTAGATCAGCTCGAAGCATAGCGCATCCCTACATTGACTGCTGGATCGAAGCCAGGAGAAGATTACTCGGTATGATAGTAAAAAAGTATTCAAGTGGAACAAAACTGATTTTGATGCAATCTCTCGTACAGACGGAAGATCAGAAGAGCTGACAGCCGTGTCAAGACAAATCTACGAATGTCGCTGCAGCAAGGGCCTTAGTGGCAATTCCAAATCGGACTGGGAAGCAGCACAGGTTTGTTCGATTGCAGATCTGCGAGAAATCTTTTATTACATGTTTTTTGTTTTGTAGAAACAAGCAATTACGAACACGTTCAATCGTTGGCTAAAAATCGATCTGGTAAGACAAGTTCGCTGGTTTTTTCTGAGTCTGATTGCCTGACTCTTTCCAGGGAGTGATTGAAACGGAGCTGGATTTACTGGATCGACAATACGCCGCAGCGTTGAGAAAAGTCAAGACGGAGTTTGAGCGAGACATGGCCGATGCTCGATCAGAAAAAAACCACGTAAGCTTTGACTACACGCAGTATGTAGCAGCAGCAGCAGCGGTTGCTCCGACGTCAACAAGAGCCGGTGAAGAAGAAGACGAAAAGGAAGGATCAAACGAGGAAGAACTAACCGAGGACGAGGACGAGGACGAGGACGAAGACGAGAACGAGAACGCAGCAGTGGAGTGCGATGTCGTAACGCGTCAGTGTGTGACGAAACAAGACGAGGTGGTATGAGCGCCTCCATCCATTCCATTCGCTATCAATTCTTTTCGAGTAGCTCGGAAGCTAAGCTTGATCTCACTGTGCTTCGTCTCACGCGATGGTGAAGTTTTTGTGTTTTTGTTCTTGCAGGATCTCATGTTGCAAAGGCCGCTCAGATGGTATCTGTCCAGAAGCCACTGAAAGAACTTCGATCGAATCTACATTGACCAAAAGGTACTCTTTTTTTCTTGTACGTAGGAGCTGTCTCGCTCACTCTTTTGATTCTTTTTTTTTTTTTTTGTTCTCTCTTGCTCAGTGCGCTCACTGAAATCGATGTGATGGTGGCGGGCAAAGTTTGAAGCATTCCGGCTATCATTTATAGCAGAGAGCGGGAAGAACAGTAGCGGCGGCGTTTTGGAGGGTTTCGGAAGCGAGAAGAGAGAAGGAAAAGAGGAGCAAGGCGAAGCAAAGCAACCATGGTGAGCTACGATGCCGAGGGCGTGGCGCTGGCGATCCTTCTCTTTATCGTGGCGGGCATTTGCGAGGTTGGAGGGGGCTGGCTGGTGTGGAAGTGGAGGCGCGAGGGATGGAGCTGGGCCTTCTTCATCCTGGGCTCCATTCTGCTGGTGGTGTATGGGATCATCCCCACGCTCCAGAGGCAGACGTTTGCGCGGACCTACGCGGCGTATGGTGGGTTTTTCATTGTGCTGTCGCTGGTGTGGGGTTGGATCACCGAAGGCGCGCGGCCGGATGTGTGGGACGTGGTTGGATCCATCGTTGCTTTGATCGGGGTCTCCATGATCATGTTTGCCAGGAGATAGGAAAATCTTACTCTTGAAATTATCTTTTCACTGTTTGTTGAGTCTGAGGTTTCATCATTTCCTGCAATTGCCCATGCACGGCAACTTTTACGTCGTGTTATCAAGAGCAACAGTTAAAATGGTAAATGCTGCAATGGTAAGTATTTCATAGTTGTGAGTCTCAAATGTGAAACTCTTTATGAGTTGAGCTCAAAGTCAATGGTCAAACATAGTCTTTGAAGAATGTTATTGACTGCTATTGACTTTCATTGACTTTTTGACCTCGTGAGGTCAGAAGTGGTCCACCTCTTCTGGTTAAGTTCTCTCTCTCCCCTGACCACGAGCGCAAGTTTGCGAGCAGCACAAAAGTTTGAGCGCTACCAGCGTCCATCTCCACCAGAGACCCTGCTGCTCGAGCCCCGATCTCCACACTGCTTCCGCCGAGCGTGCAACAAGCCGCGAGCAAGCACGTCCACTCGAGAGCGTCCGGGACGAAGGGCATATGAGCTATGAGGTCCTGGCAGTCGACTAGATATCCTGAGCGAGCTAGGAGATCGACCAGGCACGAGTAGTGCTGCTTACTCGGCTTCACGCCGTGATCTGCCACCATCGACACGAACAAGTCCCTTCCCACGAAAGCTTTGCCTCCGTGGCTGCAAGCAGCGATCACCGCTGCAAAGCCGGCTCCGTCCGCCATCGCTGCGAGCTTTGTCTCGTAGAAAATGGAGCAAGCCGCGTGGAAGTGAGCGGCGTTGTGAGCGTAGGCCGAGAGAATGACGCTGTGAGCGATGGAGTCTCGCTCGGGCATGCCATCAAAAAGCCTCTTTGCTTCCCGGAGATGGCCGCCGAGATGTGTGAACAAAACCAGCATAATGCTCCAGGCCACCACGTCCCGCTGTGGCATTCTTGCGTGAAACATCTCCACTGCGAGCTCGAGGTGGCCGTTTCGAGTGTAAGCGTCGAGCAAGGTGTTGAGCGATACCGAGTTATGCTGCGGCATCGTGTCCAGGACGTGCTTTGCCTCTTCCACGAATCCCAGGCGAGAATACGCAGCCACCATGGCGCTCGTCGAGACGATATCTCGTTCCGGCATCTCGTCGAAGAGCTGCTTCGCTTTGCTCAGTTGCCCGCTCTCGCCATATCCCGAGAGCATCGAATTCCAGCACACCAGATTCCTCTGCGGCATTGTGTTGTAGATCTCCTCGGCCTCGCCCACGAAGCCGGTCTGGGCATAAGCTCCCAGCATGATGCTCCACGAAACTATGTCTCGATCGACCATCTCCGAGAACAATCTCTTCGCGTTCTTGAGCTGCCCGTGCTGAGCAAAAGCGCTGAGACAAGTGTTCCACGAGATCAAGTTGTGGAGCGGCATCTGATCCAGCAGCTCTTTCAACCTTTCCATGTCTCCAGACTGAGCATACGCACCTAACATCGCATTCCACGACACAATACTCCTCTCCGACAATCCATCGAATAAGCTCTTGGCATCCTCAACTCGACAAGCTTGGACGTAAGCCGAAAGCATCACATTGCTCGCTACAAGATTCTTCTCGGGCATTGTATCCAGCACAATCTTGGCATCTTCCAAATACCCGGCCTGGGCAAATGCTGCGAGGAGAGCGCTCCAAGACACTATGTCGTGCTCTGGCATCTTACTGAATGCTAACTTTGGTCTCTCCACGTCTCCATTGTGACTGTAAGCCGACAGAATTGCGTTCCAAGACACTAGATTCGTCTCTGGCATATCGGCAAAGATCCTTACAGCGTCCTCCAGATGCCTGTTCTGGGCATATGCAGCAAGCATGGCACTCCACGAGACGATATCCCTCTCAGGCATTGTCAAGAACATCTCCTTTGCTTGGTTAAAACACCCGTTCTGTGAAAAAGCCGAGAGTAATCCATTCCAAGAGACGAGATTTCTAGCAGGCATTGTATCAAACATCAATCTCGCTTTCTCAAAATGCCCAGTTTGGGCATAAGCAACCACCATCGCGGTCCAGGCCACCAAATCTTTCGCAGGCATTTCATCGAACATAGTTTTTGATAACTCGATTCTGCCGTGTTGTGTAAAGATTAGCAGCATTGTCGTCCAGGACACCAAATTTCTCTGCGGCATCGCATCAAACAACGCCTTGGCTTCATCCAGATGCCCAGATTTGGCATATGCAGTAAGAAGAGAGTTCCAAGAGACGAGATTCCTGCCTGGCATCGAGTGGAATATCTCCCTGGCTTGATCGATCTTGCGGTTCTTGCAGTAGACTGTGAGCATGAGATCCCAGGAGAAACAATCCCTTGTGGCCATGGAATCAAAGACGAGCCGCGCATCCTCGGCACTTCCACACCGGCCATACATCTCGATGAGCTTGTTGAGGAGAAAGAGATCAGTGGCATGGATCGCCGATTGGATGCGCTTGTGGAGCTCCCTTGCGACCGTGATGCTGCGGCATTCCTGGATCAAGCCAAGGCAGTCACTGCGTTTCATTCCATGATATAATTTTGATGAAGAACTCGTACGGCATGACAATCAGTGATCTACCGTACGCTTGGGATCATCATGACAGGCCCAGATCATAGAAGTTCTTCTCGAATTTCTCCATGGTGTGTGGCATCAGCCCGAGCTTGAGGCAAATCCGGCGCTTATCCATCCCATCCCGCAGCAAGAACAGCACGTCTGGCAGCAGCATCGCGACGGGCGTCGCGAATGCCGCGGCGCCCCACCCGAAATCCAGCTGATCGAACGAGAACCTTGTCCAATCTGACACGATCGTCGTCTGCCGGAAAGATGGCAGCAGCCCGGACGATCCCTTGGCGCTGTGCGCCGCCCGGAGAGCGTCGATCGATCCCCAGATGTAGTCCTCGGTGACGCTCGCCTTGGCGCTCTGGATCGCGCCCACCACCGCGTGGAATGGCGCCGAGAGGAGATCCCCCGCGGCGGCGTTGGAGTAGGCCATGATGAATGCGTTGCCCATGAATCGGTGCGGGAGATCGATCTTCGGCCGCGTGTTGACGGTGAATTCCAGCAGCGCGCGCTCGCCATCGCCGATCTCCAGGGCCTTGATCCGCGCGAGCCAGGCGTGCGCGGCGAGGACCTCGAATGTGGTGCACGAGGAGAGAGCGCTGCCCTCGTCGCGATCCATCGCCCTGGCCTTCAATCGCTGGATCATCTCGTCGCTGATGCTCAAGGCCCTGACGCGGCACTTGTGCCGAGCACCCAAATACTCCTCGATCGATTCGGCAGCGCTGGCGCTACCCGGTCGGAGCAGTGGAATCCCCTGGAACCTCTCGCGGTAGAGCTCGCTGAGATCGATCGCGCGGTCGGGCTCTTCCGCCTTGATCTTGGGACGGAGGCGCTGGCGGTCCTGACAGGGCGGCTCGATCTCTTCTACCCCTCCTCTCGCCAGCGCCGCCCAATCCGAGAGGAAATGGAGCGCGCTCAGCCCGTCGAAGAGCTCGTGCCTGGATCCAAATCCAATCACGAAGCCTCCACACCCACATCGCGTCACCTGGAAAGCCAGCCATGGATCTATCGTGAAGAACACCAAGAACACGACATTTCTACCTGGGCCACGATCAAAGCGGTGTCGGAGCTGGGCGGGATCTTGTACACGAACTTCTCGAATTCCTGATTCGCGTCGCGCATATCGCCGAAATCGTCGATCCTCGCGCCGGTGGAGGCCTCCACGAGCACCACGCCCTGATCCCCGCAGTGGAGCTCCGGCTCGCCGGATTCGCCATACCTGATCCTGCCCGCCGCGGGGAAATGCGGCACGAGATTGCGCTCCATGGCGTCGCGGAGGCGATTGAAGACGCCGCTATCGCCGCCGGCGCGATAGAAATACAAGCTATACATGAAGAGCGGCGCCTGGCGATCGAGATGCGAGAGATACAAGACCTGGTGGCTCGATTGCGAGGATTTCGGATAGACGAGGACGGGATCTTCGAGATTGACGATCAGCTCGGCCGTGATCTTGGACTGCCGGGGCCCTGGATCGTCCTGTTCTTGCTCATCCACCGCCATGGCCGGAAATATTTCGAAATCCCGGCCCTCCTCCTGCCTGGATTCTTGCATCGCAGCGACGCTCGATCGATTGCTGCTGGTCGAAAAGATGGAGTGATGATCTTCGTCCCGGCGCACTGGCAAGTAGCGAGGATTTTTGGATTCTACCTCCCAGTGCGAGGCAGGAACTTGTGAGAACAGCTAGCATGGATGGAATTTACGCGCCGCGCTCTGAAAACCCTGGCGCTGTCACGGGTGCTAAGACGTCCCTGTTCTCTAGGGCCTCTTTTTCAAATCCAAGAATGTTCGTTTCTTCGGGCTTAAGGTCTAGCGGCTTTAATCGCCTGGCTAAACCTCTACAGAGATTTAGGGTTCTTGCGTTGCGGCCAATGGAGGCGACGGAGGCCAAGGCGCCAATGGAGGCGACGGAGGCGATGGCGCCAGTGGAGGCGAAGAAAAAGGAGAAGAAGGAGAAGAAGAAGCCATCGCAGGTGCCAGTAGCTGGTAAGCAAAGTTTTTCGCGAATGCGCTTCTTTCTTAGTCTCGAGCGCCTTGCAGCCAAGAAGGAGGGGAAGAAGGAGACCGGGCTTGGCCTCACAGTGAAGAAAGGGGAGAATTTCGGGGAGTGGTATAGCGAGGTAAGCGCATTACTAGGTTGGATCTCGGGAGAGCTTTGATTTTATCTTTTCAACGATTCATAGGTGGTTGTCATGGGTGATATGATCGAGTATTATGATATCTCCGGCTGCTACATTCTTCTTCCATGGTCTTACGCGATCTGGGAGTCGATCCAGGCAAGTCAATGATCTTAGATTTTCATCGCAAAGCGTAACTTTATTTCTTCTCTCCTTTTTACAGCGTTTTCTTGATGGGGAGATTAAAAATCTAGGAGTGGAAAATGCGTACTTCCCACTGTTTGTTTCCGAGAGAGCGCTTGTCACGGAAAAAAAACACGTAGAGGGATTTGCTCCTGAGGTAGATCCGCGACTATTTTTTTCTCGATGCTATGATCCAGTTTTCCAGGTTGCATGGGTGACAAAGTCGGGAGAATCGGCTCTGGAAGTCCCTATAGCCATCCGTCCAACCAGCGAAACCGTGATGTACCCCATTTTTGCTAAGAGGATTCGGGGTCACAGAGATCTTCCTTTCAAGATCAACCAGTGGTGTAACGTGGTTCGCTGGGAGTTTAAGCACCCAACTCCTTTCATAAGGTAGCTTCTCCTCGATTCTCTTTCTGAGATGATACGTAATTCTCTTTTCAGGAGTCGTGAGTTTCTTTGGCAAGAAGGCCACACCGCTTATGCAACCAAGGAAGAAGCGGATGAGGAAGTGTATGCGGTGCTTGATCTCTATCGAAGAGTGTACGAGGAATTACTCGCTATCCCCGTCATCAAGGGGGTGAAGAGTGAAGTCGAGAAGTTCGCGGGTGGACTCTACACGACGACTGTGGAGGTAAAAATTCTGATTCGAAGCCTGAACTTATTCAACTGTTGCTGTTTGTTCCAGGCATTTATTCCGCTCACTGGTCGTGGAATCCAGGGTGCTACCTCGCATTGCTTAGGCCAGAACTTTGCGGAAATGTTCGACATTGTTTTTGAGGACGAGAAGCGTGAGCGTAAGAAAGTTTGGCAGAATTCGTGGGGTCTGACTACTCGAACAGTAAGCAGTTTTTCTTCTTTTTCCACTTGATTCTTGACTTGGTGTTTGATTGCTACATGTAAGATTGGCGTCATGATCATGGTACACGGAGATGACAAGGGTCTGGTGCTCCCTCCTCGCGTCGCTCCAGTACAGGTTATCATAATTCCAGTGCCTTACAAGGACGTGGACACACAGAAGCTTTTTGACGCCGCCGCTAGCACAGCTCGCCAGCTTAAAGCCGCTGGACTGAGAGTGAAGGAGGATACGAGAGACAACTATTCGCCGGGTTGGAAATACTCGAATTGGGAGCTCAAAGGCGTCCCTTTGAGAGTTGAGATTGGTCCTCGAGATCTAGCAAACAGTCAGGTATGTTCACTTCTTTTGTTCTAGTGAGAACTTGGTTCTTTTGTTACAGGTCCGTGTTGTGAGGCGGGATACTGGCGCTAAAGAAGATGTGCCAATGGACAAGATCGTCGACCGTATCAGCGAGCTTTTGGAAGAGATCCAACTCCAGCTGCTAGAAAAGGCTCGCAAAGAGAGGGACGATTGCATCGTCAAGGCGTACACTTGGAAGGAGTTTATGAAGGCCCTGGACGATAAGAAGATGGTGCTCGCTCCATGGTGTGACGAAGAGGTGAGTTACAAGAACGTTGCATTTACATTTCCTTACACGATTGTTTGATATTTGGCAGAAAGTAGAAGAGGACGTCAAGGCCAGAACCAAAGGAGAGAGTGGAGCTGCCAAGACGCTATGCATGCCTCTCGATCAGCCAGATCTCCCAGAAGGTATCACGATTCCTCGGCGCTGGTTTTCGCGATTAATTCTTTCTTTTTTCTCAGGGACCAAGTGCTTTGCTTCGGAAAAACCTGCAAAGAAGTGGGCTCTCTGGGGACGCAGCTACTGAGAATGAGATTATTTACGAAGAAAATGGAAAAAGACAATTCGTTTTGCTTCTTTTGCCACCATAAAGTTCATCCATTCGGTATTTTTTTGTGATTTTTGGTTGTAAAGTGTAAAGTTTAGTTGGTTTGCTCACGGATGTTCTTGGTTTGTTTTTCGGAGAAATCCTTCAAACACAACAAAGGTTCCATTCATTCAGAGCATCAGACCATTTCATCTCGGGCTCAGCACAGATTTCTCTGATAGCGAATGGATGCGAAAAAGATGAAAGATCATCACTTGCACTAGAGAATCGAGAGAGAGAGGAAGAGTAGTTTGGGGGATGTTTATCACATGGTCTGTCCAAAGAGGTAATCGCGGCATAGCCGCTCCCCATGGCAATGGAATATGTGATAGCTGCCGCTCGGAATCCCACCCCCGAGAGGGCGATCATCAACAAGCGCAGTGAATCAATCTGTGGCGACCCACCGTGGACCTTACGACACCAAAACAAGCCGCTCCACTTCTAGATTGTGAGTCCGTCCACGCAAAAACCCTTCGTTCTCGCGCATCCTTATAAAGCCCTCTCCCAGCCGCCATAAACCCTAAACCCTAATTAGGTCGAAATCCCAGCCGCTCGTGACGAGAGAGATCCAGGCCGTTGAAAAACTCGCGGGAGATTGTGAGAATATTCTGGCGGTTTGAAAATTTTAGAGGCCAAGGGAGCTCTTCAAGTTGTCCATGCCCTTTCCCACGAAGTCGGTGACCTTCTCTGTGATGGGCTTGAGCTCCTCTTTGGGAGGAATCTGGATCAAGAACAAGAAAAAAAGCTTAGAACTTTGGCGAGAGGAAAAAATAAGTGAGATCCTGACCAGAGTGACATCCACAGGCCGGAGAGCTTCGTTGGCTTTCTCTTCGTCCTGTTTCAAGAAGCAAGAGATTTGTGACGATCGAAGCAGTGTGATCGAGCTCGAGAACAATCTGAGCACTTACCACGAGCTTGTAACCAAACTGGAACTCCTTCGCTGTTTTCAGCGTGGGGTAGGTCTTCACCACCGAGGCAATGATCTTCTCCTCGTCCTGGTCACATCTAAGAAACCATCGTTATGAATTTCCAAAGCCGATGTTTGTTTCAGTCCGATCTTTCCGATCGGCGTGCTTACTTTGTAAACAGCGGCACCGATGTTGTTTGTCAAGCTGTTGCCATAGATCTTCTTTCCCCACTCGTTCTTAGTGACTCCCACCATGAATTTTGCCGCATTTCCTCCCGAGACAATGTTTAAAGGGTACCAAAGTGGAACCTGGAAGAAAGTATTAGATTCCAAAGAACGAGCAAGAAACCAGAAAAGAGAGCGATCGATCGTGAGCTTACGTTCTTACTGCGAATGAAGATCACGAATCGCGGATTGTCGTCCTCCGCCGCTGGGACTTTCGGGAGTGATCTTTGCTGCATCTGCTGCTGCTGCTGCATCCTCCGCATCGGCCCTTTCCTCTTAGACGCTTCAATCGTCAAGACTTGCAAAGATCGCTCGCTGCTCGCTATGGCCGCCCGATCCATCGCCGGCGACCTAAATTTCCCTAGAAACGAGCTTTCCAATCGCCTCGGCTGCGCCGACTCACCGCAATGCGGCCTCGAAATCGTTGACACTGCCTCCATGCCCGACGCTGAACGCGAAATACCCTAGGTAGGACGATCGACCGGAGAGAGACAGAAGATCGAGAGAAAAAGAAAGAGAGCGCCATACCTGGTAGTGATGGATCTTATCCGGACGAAGGAGAGCCAGGGCAATTCGAACGCGCGACCTTCCTTTTGCAAATTAAAACTTACCGCCATAATTTAAATTTTAGGGTCCAGGGTTTTAGCTATGGCTTCTTGTTGCTGGCTCTCGCCGCCGAGGCTATGGCGGCCGCTGCCAGTCCAGGCGAAAAAATGCCAGTGGCGACGGCGCAGGATCGGCGCTCGCATTTGCGCTGTTGGGGCTGATTTGAGCGACATCGATGCCACGGACGAGGGCGATCAGGGAGGAGGATTCAAGGAGGGCGGCGCGAGGGCAAAGAGGCTGGAGAAAGTAAGGTATGAGAAGCAAGCTCGCAAGGAGAAGGAAGCCTCCACATACCCCGAATGGGCAAGGTTTGCTCATTCCTTCGTGTTTGTGCTGACAAATGCTATGTATTTCCTTTGCTGCCAGGATTTTTGAAGATCAAGCTCGCAATGACGATGAAGTTCGGGAGATTCTAGGTGACAGCCTTGGCAATCCAGAGGAGATGGAAAAACGGGTGAGCACTTTTCCACGGAAAGAATTCATTCACTCTTTTGTCTTGTTTTATCCTCTTTTCTCTTTTCTTTATAGTTGAGGGACAGGGTACTCCGGAAAGGAAATGACCTCTTTACTCCGAAGACTGGTACTGCTATACCTCTGGAAGTACAGTTCCGAGAGTACGTTTCCATAGTTCTTTCTCGCTCATTTTTGTTTACTGTAATTGTCAACACAGCTTCGATCCAGCGGGAGCATTTATTTGGTTCGAGCTGTGTGGTGCGCCAACAGAAAAGGACTTGGACATCATCGGAGGCGTAAGTTCACTTTAAGATAATTAAAGTGTGATTCTTAAGTGGCAATCCAGGTCTTTAGATCATGGTACATTCTTGGCAAGCTGGGAGCTTTCAACACCCTTAACATGCAAGTAAGAGCAATGATACAAAAAAGTTTGTTCACTGTGTGTTTTTTGGCGATTTTTCTCAGCTGACGAAGTTGCCAGTAGAAGCACCACCCAAGTACTCCCCGGAACTAGCCAAGCAATCCTTGCCAGCTTACTTCCACAACATTGGCGATATAGAGTACCAAGACACTATCGGAAGAGTCTGGTAAATCTCGGAAGTTTCTATTACGATCTAAAAAATCTTTCTTTCCAACAAAACAGGGTCGATCTGGGAACTTCCGACCCGCTTGCGTGGGATGTGATCATAAATTCCTTGTCTGCTGTAAGCTCCGAGTAAGTCTCACTAGATTTATGCCTCTCGATAAGAAAAAACCTTTTTTTTTTCCTATCATTGCGTAGCCATGTCGGCATGAAGCTGCTCGTGTTTGGCGGTAACAAATTTGGCGACTGGGAGGACGGAATGAAAAATCCCGACGATGGCTACAAAGTCTACAAGATCTAAAGCCACTGACGACATGATATCCTTTCAATGAGAGGTAAGCATTGGTTGCTTCTCCTGGTTTCCTTCCCTTGTAGAAAGTGATTGGAGTGACTGACCAGACCGACTTTGTAGGGACCCGGGAATCGAACCGATTGTTTTACGTCAAGCGGCGTGGCTGGCTATGGTGGTGCCACGTAAGCCCTATTTGCATGGGACACGTGGGTGCCGCTGGAAGTGACACGTAACATTTGGCGAAAATGGAAAGCCTTGGCGATGGCGCTGGCGCTTTGCGCAGAAGGACGAGGAATCCAGATCTTTCTATTCTCTCACTCTTCTTTTTCTTTGTTTAGGGCCCGGGAGTGGCAATATTTTATCGTCTTGCATTGCATGGCTCCTCAATAAGCGCGCGTTGGCACCATGCGTGTCAAGATCACAGCGATCGATTGTTTCCGCGCGTAATCGCATCCACATCTCCTCCTCCTAGCTTACTAGGTCTAGATTTCGAGAGCGCTCGGGCGGGAATGGGGCGATTTCGTCTGGAATGCGTCCTCTGGTTGCTGATTCTTACGCAGCAGGCCTGCGCTGCGAGAAAATTCGAGTGGAAGAGGGATTCGAGTGCAAGCGACGAGTTCTTGGAGGATCAATCCCCCCGTGGCACGCGATGGGCTGTTCTAATCGCTGGCTCAGCTGGATATTGGAATTACAGACACCAGGTAACTTAGCGATCAAAGAAATCTTGGCTCTAGTATTATTAGAACTTTCTTTTCTTGTTCTTCTCGAGGATCTAGCTCTAATGTTTTGGAAAAAAAAATTCCAGGCGGATGTTTGCCATGCGTATCAACTCTTGAGGAGGGGAGGTATGAGAGAAGAGAATATAGTGGTGTTTATGTATGACGACATCGCGAATAACTTTGCGAATCCCCGGCCTGGAGTCATGATAAATCACCCCAATGGAGACAACGTTTATGAGGGTGTTCCAAATGTGAGAACAATCTCTTTCATTCTAATAGACAACTTCCAGAACACTAAAAGGCCTGTTCTTTATTTTTTCCACTACAGGACTACACTGGAGATCAAGTCACAGTGAACAATTTTCTGGCAGTCCTTCGCGGGGATAAAGAAGCTCTTCAAGGCGGCAGTGGAAAAGTTGTGGAAAGTGGTCCAAATGATCATATCTTTGTGTTCTACTCGGATCATGGGGGTCCTGGCGTACTTGGTAAGGCACAGCTTCATTCTTTTCTTCTTTCGGTATACTTGAAACATGCTACGCAGGTATGCCGGTCACTCCGTATTTATATGCTGTTGATTTGGTCACAACTCTCAAAGATATGCACGACAATAATAAGTACAAGGAAATGGTATGCTTGGCTTTATGTTGGAACGGGGAAGTTCTGACGACGTGTTTGTGATCACAGGTGCTTTACATTGAAGCTTGTGAGAGTGGCAGCATCTTTGAGGGATTACTTCCAAAAAACTTAAACATCTTCGTGACGACGGCATCCAACGCTGTTGAAAGCAGCTGGGGAACCTACTGTCCAGGAATGGAGCCTTCTCCACCGCCAGAGTATGATACTTGCATCGGAGATCTTTACAGTGTGGCCTGGATGGAGGACAGGTACCTGAGACCAGAAAGAAATGGTTATGGAATTGAATTGGCTTCAATCTTTTTGCAGTGAAGTACACAATCTCGACCATGAAAGGCTGAAGGATCAGTACAACACTGTAAGCGAAAAAAACAAATTTGCTTGCTCGATCGATGCTATTCTTATCATTGTGCATAACTTTGCAGGTAAAAGCGAGAACCTCTGACGCGAATACTTATAGAATGGGATCCCATGTTATGAAGTATGGAGACACGAACATGGACAAGGAAAGGTTATCCTTGTATCTCGGGTTTGACCCGGCCAACGCCAATTTGACTTCCTACAGTGCAAAAGCTGTAGAATTGCTGCCCGTCGGGCTCAAGCTTTTTCTCCAAGACAAACCGGCTTCAAGCATTGGCCAGCGTGATGCCGACTTGCTACATTTCTGGCAGAAGGTATTGTCTCATAAAGCTTTGTAGCTCCAATTTTTCACGGTTCTCTAGATTGCGTCAGTACACTGGTGTTTTCTTTTATCTTTTCGACTTTTCTGACTTTGTCTCTCTCTCTTTTTCTGCTTTGCTTTGCAGTACAAAAACTCCAAGGAAAATTCACTAGAGAAGTCCAAGGCATTGCAAGAGTTCCTGGACGTGATAGGAAGGCGTACGCAGATTGACAGGAGCGTGGAACTTGTGGGAAGCGTTCTGTTGGGCTCAGAATCTGCCTCCCAAATCCTCAACTCCGTGAGACCCGAGGGACATCCACTTGTCGATAATTGGGATTGTCTCAAGGAAATGGTGAGTGCCTCCACACTTTGGTTTCCATCAAAGCAAACCTTCCTAACGGAACGAGCTGACGGCTCTCTCTTTTTTTTAACAGGTTCGAGTCTTCGAGGCCAAGTGTGGACCTCTCGGACAGTATGGGATGAAGCACATGAGAGCGTTTGCGAATCTTTGCAATGCGGGTGTCGATCCCGAGAGGATGAAATCAGCAGCAGGAGCTACGTGTGGTGGTATCTCTTACGTAGACGGCCATGATACGGGCTGCGACGCAAGCCATTCAAGTTTCTAAGCACGCAAGCCATTCAATCTTCTAGGCAAGTAAGCGATCAAAGTTTTGCATTTAACAGAAGACTAGATAGAAAGATAGATCATCTTCTATGTAGCTACGTTGATAGCATAACTTCTCCTTCCACTTGTAAAAACCTTATCTACAGGGAATTCATGAAGAACTTTGAATAACTGAAACACTTTCCGATCGATCAGTGAGGCTTTGGCTTCTTGAGCAAAACTGTGGGTGAAGATCGCAGAGCTCGCGCTCGCTGCTCTTGGATGAGCTGCTCTGCAAACCAATCCAGCCGCTCGGCATTGGTTTGCTGCAAAGCTCTCATCCCTCCAAATCCCATATGCTCCATCGCCTTTTGCTCGAGAAGCTCATCCGCCACGGAAGCCAATCTTTTGATATTACTATCGCTCGGATCGTCGGATTCGGCTGGATACCCCGAGGCCGGCATCACAGTCTGCGAGGAGATAGAAAACAAAAAAGATAGAAGTTTAGCGATGATTGCTCGTGCCCAGAAGGAAAACAAAGAAAAAACCCGGCTTTTGGAGCTACTTACTTGGAGACGAAGGTAGTTTTCTCGACCAGCCGAGGACGCGTACGCCATGGCTAGCATTTGATCCACCATGTCCGACACGTTGTCCAAAACTATCTCCGCCGCCGGCCTGGCCCATTGGCACGGCCCCCAGTCGGCCACTCCCTTGTCGTACCGCCGCTCAAACACACCGCTGCCCAGTGACAGTAGCAGCACGTCGCCGGCGTCACGTACCGCGGGAAACTCCTCGCCGTTGTGGAGGACGTGCGTCATGGCCGCCGCTGCCGGGTTGTTCATTACCATGCCGGCGTCCACCGCGGTACAGCGCGTCGTGCCGTCGACCGACGCCACGGCCGCCGGAGGGAAGAGACCCGGCGTCGCGGATGCCGCGCGGCACACGTCAGAGAGCCGGAAGTCCCATGCCGCGGACTCGAGCGCTCCCGCGCGGGAGAAGAGGAAGGGAGCTGACGTGGCCAGGTCGTAGCACGGGACTAGTACGGGCTTGAGCGTGTCGCGCAGTGTACGGTCGCCCAACATGTCGCGCAGCACGGCATCGAGGCCGTCGGTGGAGAACTTGGGACCCGTGCAGCCGGCGGTACCGCGCGGTGTCGCCCCAGGGACGGTGCTCGTCGCCGCCGCCGCCGCCGGGTTCTTCTTCCTCCTGGAGAAGAGCTTCCGGAGGAATCCCCTCTTGGGAGCCGGATGCGACGGCGCCTTGAGCTCCTCGATCCGGCGCTTGAAAATGGATCTCCCCTTGTGCGCGATGATGCTCCAGGCCTCCTCGGCGGAGAAGAGCGGGCGATTGGAATCGCTGCCCCCTTTGCCGGTGAAGAGCATCGTCCCAATCATCCCGCCCACATTGGATCCCGCCACGATGTCGAAGAAATCCACGATTCGCGCCGAGGAATCGCCCGTCTTGAGCTGCAGGAGGCGCTCCAGATGCGCGAGGAGCTTGGCGGGGATGATCCCGCGCATCCCCCCGCCATCGATGCTAAGCACACAGACCTTGCCGCGCTGGTGCTGCTGGAGGTGGTGGTGATTCTTCTTGGTGGCGCTGCCGATGGAGTGGTGCTCCTGGTCGAGCCAGCCATTGATGATGCGAGGAATGTAGATGGTGGCGCCGCCATTCTCAAAGTACTCGGTGATGAGTGCCTCCTGCCATCCATTCTCGAGCTTCTTCACGGGGCTGCCACCGCTTGGGTGGTGGTGATTCTTGTCGATCATGCCATTCTTCGCAAGAACAATCTGGTGGTACTGCTCATGATGCGTAGCCATGGTCGCCGCCATCGCCATATCTTCGAAGAGTCCCAAAGAGATGGAGGGAAGATCTATATCTAGCAGAGGGGAGCTAAACTATCCATTCGATGGTGGAAGCCTTCAAATGAGAACTTTGGAGCGACCCATCGATCGATCAGAGGATTTGCGGGATTTGGACCAACCGATGGATCGATACGATCCTTGCGCAGCAGATCGGATGCTCGGACAAGCAAAACGGGAACTAGGCTAAAAGCCAGACAGGGGAAACAAAGAGAGAGAATGAGAAAAACGCGAAAACGCTCTGCATTCTGCGTTCTGCTCCCTCCTGCGCCTGCGCCTGCACCTGCATCTGCTCCTGCGTCTGCTTTCTGCTGCGGGCGGTGAACATCACAAACTGCTCAAGATTTGTCGCGCTGCTTGCTCCGCTTTCCTTGTCAATCCCGACTCGCTCTCACTCTCGCGCCCGGTTTTTATTATTCCCACGATGCGGGCTTGCGCATTACATGCCACCTCTCGCAAGCATCCAAAACCCCAAAAACAAAACCCTCCAAGGGACAAGAACAACCAACAGGAAAGCCACGAAATTTCGCTCGCAATATCAAATGCCAATCACTGTCTGCTGGTGATCTGCTGCTCCACCCCGCAAGAACAACGCAAGGGCTTCTTCGTTCTTGCCTTCGCAGGATCGATGGTTCTTGGAGAGAGAGAGAGAGAGAGATCGACCGCAAAAGCCCCAACAAAGCAACACACCCACACACTTTCCTTGCTACTGCGATTCTGCGAACCAAATAATGCCGATGATTCGCTCAGTCTCTCTCGGGATCTCTTTTTCCAAGCGCACACACAAGGAACAGCCAACGAAACAATCTATCGCTCGCAACAAATCAATCCATCGCTCTTCTTAAATGCCTCCCAGTCTAAACCATGCCCCCTGAATATGCCCATTCCGGGCATATTCCCGCGCGAATACAGCATAAATGCCCATGGTGGTGAAAATACATGTGAGAGCGTTTAACTCCGCGCGTAATGAGCGCCAGCCAGCTATCCATTATTTTTACAAATTACACCTGATTCTTCCTCCAAGTTTCATGGCAGTAATTTTTACCTCTCGTAAAAATCTCGCACTTGGCACTGACAGTGACAGTGATCCGAAATGTCTTGGGTGTTTGGGAGGGAATGAAAACGGCATCTGGAGATTCCTTTGAGTTGACCAACATATATCGATCAAAATCAGCTTGTCAACACCTCTCACATGATCCGCAAAGACCCATCAAGTAAACAAACAAGAGGAGAAGCGGGGATGAAAACAAAAGAGTTTAGCAGCTCGCAATTGATGGATCGGTCGAGACTTTTCCAGAGTAAACACGCCGGAGTTTGTTTTTGTGGAGAAAGTGTAGTGGAAGCATCAAACACGCCGACACTTGCTCCCTCCAATTCATCCTCTTATAAACAAAAAAATCCAAAACTCTGGCAGGAATATCGTGTAAGTGCCCGAGCTTAAGTTGCATTTGGCTTTGTGTCATCTCTAAGGTTGAGATTATGCTTCAACCAAATGGAGAAGTTTCGCCATCGTTTTGCCCTTTGTGTGGGTCAGCCTGTGCTCGTAAGAGTTCGTGTCATGATTGCCACAAGAACGTATTCTCAATGCCTGGGATCGATCTTTTTATAAGCTTTTGAAGTTTTTGCTTCTAGTGGGCTGCTCTTAACATCGGCCCAAGTTTCCAGACTCCACTCAGAGAAAAGCCTGGAGATTAGTTGAGTGAAATTTACATCACAAAGAAAACTGCTTTCCTGCTGCTTCTGCTGCTGCTGATGCATGCGTTGCGTGCCAAAAAGCAATCAGATCGCCCTCACGAGCACCGAGAGGTTTTGCAGTTTGCTGCTGATGCAAGAACACTCATTTGAAAAATAGAGAGCTACAAAAGCAAAACAAACCGAAAACAAGAATAAAATATGGCTTTCCCTGGCAAACAATTCTGAAGAAAAAGACCAAACCGAATGGCATAAAAACACATGCCCAGACAAGTTCTCCTCTTGGTCCAAAATGAAAGTTAATTTCTCTCTTTCTCAAAGAAGAATGTAAAAAACAACACATACATAGTCCCACCAACTTCTCTCACAACTTTTTCCAAGTTCGTGAATCATGCAACATGCGCTCCCATTGCTTGCCTCGTTGCTTCTCACATTTCCTCCTTTCGGTGCAGATTGAAGGGTATGGGGCCACCGCCCAAAGAGCTGCTTCTGTTTCTTCCCGGGCCACCACTTTTGTTTCTCTCCATCACCCTCTGCAACTTCCGATGTACCAGAAAAGTTCTTTTTCTGATTTCCAAGATCCGATCCTGTTGCATCTCGTGGCAGAAAAGGTGGTGGGTATCTTGGCTCCGTAGTTGTCGTCGCCACCCCCTCGTGCAACGAGATCAGTCTCCAGACAGGCTCACCTGAACAAATTCTGATCATGAATGACGAACTTATACACACATCTGCACGTTACCTTAAAAGTTGACATTCAACACTATTAGGCTCCTTCGAAGTCAACAAAGCATCAAAAATTTTCATTCTGTGAAAGATGCACCTTGACTCTTGACTTTTATCAACCATCCAAGAGTATCTTTCTCAAACCAGGAAATGGAACCAGTCTCACTCATTAATATTCTAAGGTGTAAGAAACTTTGAAAGAGTAGAATGAGTAGTAATAGTTTAAGTAGTAATCTGTTGTGGATTGAGATAGATGAACCATGACTACTGCTAAGAAATTAGAAGAATAATTCTGAAAGAATTTAATTTTAGAGTTGAGCATATTTCACAGGTTTTCTAGTGTTGTCTTCAATTTCTTAGCAGTCAATAAATAATTATTACATCTTAATTAATCAACTAAGATATGACTGGTTTATATAAAAACTATAAAATAAAAGAAAATTGATTAGCAAACAACTTACACTATTTAAACTATCACATTTAATTCTAATTCTAATTTTCAAGTAGCAATTATGGTTCATCTATCTCAATCAATAACTTCTAAAATGTGCCATTCAACTATTTATCAAGCTATCACTAGTAATTCTAAGAATGAAAAAATGAATTTCATACAAAGTATATATATATATATATAGACAAAAAAATTGTTATTAAAAAATATAATATTATTTTAAGTAAAAAGGATTAGCATAAATTAGAGTTCACTTATATCAATTAATAACTACTATTAACTAGAATCTACTATGACTACATTATTATTCTAGCTATGAAAACAACTTCAGCTGTATATTATTGTAAAATATGGTTTCTAAAATAAAAATAAAAAATTCAAAGTTCTCAAAATTTTATATATTAAAACTACTAAAATAAATTAAATTATGTCTTCAATTAGAACTAATACACACATACACAGATATATATATATATATATATATATATATATATATATATATAGACACACACACACACACATACTACTAATAGTTTTAGTTTTAATTTTGAATTGTGAGGTCCAAGTGTACGGCTATAATGCTGTATATTAATATTAGCATATTGGGATTTTGGTACCCGTCATATTGGTTTCAATCCAGACATATATAAATTAACATTTTTGGACTAATTGATATGCACATTTTCTATATTCCTTTTCTATATGCCATACACTCATATTGGTGGAAGTGAGGGGCACCTTTAATTATCTCTGAGGAGTGCTTAAATTTAGGATTTTGGTTTAGATTTAGCTTTTGCATTGTCTAGATCTAATTTTTTCCATTTCCTTTCTTTTGTTCTTTTCTTTCAAAATTTTGGTTTAGATCTAACTTTTGCATTGTCTAAATCTCCCTTTCTTTCTAACCTTTTTTTCATTTCTTTTCTTTTGCTTTTTCCTTTTCATTCATCTTCATGGTAGAGCAACAATCTCCTCCTCCTTTGACTTTGGAGTAGCAATTGGTGGAATTGCTTCATGCTATGCGATTGCAATTGAACAACCAAACTCAATTGATAGTAGCATTCACAACATATGGTATAGCTCCTCTTGCTCTTAGTGCCAATCTTTATGTTCGGCTGAAGTTCTTTTGTGGGAATCCTAGGGGTAATGTGTACTATGGTTTGATCACTTCACGGTGATTGCCACATATCATTCTTGGGATGATACTAGAGAAAGAGGAAAAAAGTAAGCTCAAAAGTTCAAGCTTATGAAAACAAAATTGAAAGGTTCAAGGCTAAGACTATATTCCTAACCTTGACATGAGCAGTAGCAACTATAAAAGTAGGACTTAGAATATTTTTAGACTGATCCCTAATACAAAATATAATACATCATCATTCTGCCTATCTCTTTGGCTCTTCACGGCAATGTCTTACTTACCCACCACCTTTAAGGGAACAAAGGTGTGGGACTAGCACCTTCATGCTCGTGTTCACAATCTCAACTTAGATTAGCACAAGCAGGTAAGTGCACTCTTCCCGTAGTGTAGTTTTAGATTTAGGGACTAGTTTAGATTTGAAACCTTCTAAGAAGATTTCATGTGGACATTTTCCTCCCAATTTAGAAAATCTAAAAGTTTCAAGTTTCATGATAATTTCAACTTCATCATTGTGATCTTGTTCTTCCAGATTATCCAATTGCTGATACTTGTATTGTTGGTTCTTCAAAAGTTTGTGATTTGTCAATTTCCACCTCAACATTCTGTGCTGCTAGTGGTCTTGGCTTTGGAGCCTGATTGTTTACTCCTTAGTTATTCTCACAATTTACATTTTGGTAAGGTTGTCGAGGTCAATTATTTTGCCAGTCTTACGACATGTTGGTCTGCCATGCAGACATTGAAGGGAGCAGCAAACTACAAGACAACAGCATCTTTGCAGTTCTCGAATGTGAAAGAAAATTTGTGAGGGATTTTCAAATTCCTTCTCGCAACATTGGAGTTCCAATGAATGGTGATATAAGTGAGCAAGAACATCACCTTCATCTATGAAGACTTGAACAATGGAGTCCAGGTCAGCTTGGGAGCGTACGTTTACATCAAGTTCTATAGGGAACTCTCACAGGTTTTCAATGCACTAGAGAGTAAGAAGATAATTATAACAACACTTTTTCCATGCATAGAGGCTTTGAATGAAAGGGCATTAGTGCTTGTCTCTCAAGCCCAAGTGAAAATAGTGAAGGAGAAGGTCAACCTTGGCAAAGGAAGTGAGGCACAAGAAACAGAGGAAGAGGATCAAGACAACCATGAGGAAGCAAAGGAAAAGCAAGTGGAATTTAAGGATGAAGAAGATGAAGCCAAGAAGGAAACTCCAAAAGAACAAAAGGTTGAGGACCGTGCAAACACGCAGGAGGAACCACCCCATGATGGGGAAAAACTGATGGATCATGCGCAGGAGATCCTAGCGTTAGAGAAAAATCAAGAGGAAGGGATTACTGATGACAAGCTCCCGGAGACTCTAGTTTGCAATCTTGAGTCTGCGACACAAGACTGCAACCTTAAGCCTGAAACAGTTGTGATAACCACAATGGCCAAAGACAATGAGAAGGGTCTAGACGAGGATGGAGTAGAGAGACACCTCCACAATTGTCCTCCATGCCGCTACACTCCAGAGAAATGAGGATGGGAGGAGCTCAAGCACGGCAACCACAGCAACCAGAAGCTTCTGCACAACTTCTTGCAGCAGTACCACAACTCCAAACTAGCAGTGTACACTTGTGAAGGCATCAAGAGCTTCTATGAGAAGACATTCGTCAAGCCAACGGAGCAATGCCTTTTCAAACTTGAGGACGGTTTCAAGCAGTTGAACACTGCGATCAAGAGCATTGCAGCCATGGAATTCTGACTCCAAAATCTTGTAAGGAATCCTTTGACCTTGCGCAGCAGTTTCAGCAGGAAAATGCAAGGCTCAACAAGGAGCTGCTTGCAGTAAAAGAAAGAATCCATGCGCTCAAAGAAGCAGCCTAGACTTAC